CCGGTGCTCGTATTGTGGGTGCTGGAGCTGCTGGGTCTGAGAGTTCTCCTGGAGCTGGTACTGCTGAGGGTGTTGGCGCTGAGCCTGCCGTTGGCGGTCCGACTGACAGTGCTCCTGGTGCTGCTGCTGGAGGTTCTGGAGCTTCTGGTGGTGCTGCTGGAGGTGCTGCTGGAGTGGGTGCTCCTGCCGGGGCTGCTGGTGCTGTTCCTGCTGTTTCTAGCGTCGCCGCGCGGCCCCGACCGTACTTCGTTCCGCTCCTGCAGCAGGTTCTTGGTCTTACACCTCCTCCTCCTCCCTTAGAGGGTCCGCAGCCTGTCCGGTCACAGCCACAGCTACAGCCTGCCTCCCCTTTGCCTGCTCCTTCTCCCTACGCTGGTCCGACTGGAGGTCTTACTGAGCGTCGTGAGCCTGCGTCTCGTCCTGTGTCGCCTGTTCGTACTGAGCGCGCTAGTGGTCGCGGGTCGCGTCAGCGTCCTCCTCCTGTCCCTGGCACGCACCGGATGTCACTGCGTCCGTCCACTGCTCCTCTGCGTGCCCCTTTGCCTTCTCCTCCTGCTTCCTCTCTTCCTGCTCTTGCCGACCCGGAGTCGGACTCTCTTCGTGCTGCCAGTCCTACTGTCACGCGTCTCCTTGCTACTGCTGTCACTGACCCTTCCTTCGAGTCGTCTGCTGCGTCTGCCCTTGTCACTGAGCTTGTCGACTTTGCTGCGCGCTGTCGTCTAGACTACGCTGCTCGTCTTGTCACTGAGTCTGAGTCCGCCTGTCCTCCGTCCGTCGGGGGTGAGTGTGCCCTTGGCACGGACGTCCTTGAGGACAGGCAGGAGGAGTTCCAGTGTCTGGCCGCCGCTTCACCTCGTCTCGCGTCTGTACTGCTAGCCCCTGAGGGAGACCCGGATACACCAGACATCCCGACTCCGCGCTCTTACGCGGAGGCGATAGAGGGTCCCTACTCCTCTCAGTGGCAGGCAGCTATGGATGCAGAGATGGCTTCCTGGAAGTCCACAGGCACCTACGTTGACGCTGTTCCCCCTCCTGGGGCGAACATCGTCAGTGGCATGTGGATTTTCAGGGTGAAGCGGCCGCCGGGTTCTCCGCCTGTCTTCAAGGCGCGTTACGTGGCTCGTGGCTTCAGTCAGCGGCAGGGGGTTGACTACTTTCAGACCTTCTCCCCCACCCCGAAGATGACCACTCTTCGGGTTCTGCTGCACGCTGCTGCTCACCGTGACTACGAGCTGCACTCTCTCGACTTCAGCACAGCTTTCTTGCAGGGCAGCCTGTACGAGGAGATCTGGCTGCGTCGCCCACCTGGCTTCACTGGGTCTTTCCCTCGTGGTACCCAGTGGAGTCTCCGGCGTCCAGTCTACGGTCTCCGCCAGGCGCCACGTGAGTGGCACGACACACTGAGGACTACGCTCGCGGCACTTGGGTTTGCTCCTTCTACTGCCGACCCGTCGCTGTTTCTGCGCACCGACACCTCTCTGCCGCCGTTCTACATCCTCGTGTACGTCGACGACTTGGTCTTTGCCACAGCTGACACTGCTGGACTCGCCTACGTGAAGTCCGAGCTGCAGAAGAGACACACGTGCACTGACCTGGGTGAAGTGCGCAGCTACCTTGGCTTGCAGATCACCCGGGACAGAGCACGCCGCACCATTACCCTGACTCAGTCACACATGGTGCAGCAGGTCCTTCAGCGCTTCGGCTTCACGTACTCCTCGCCTCAGGCCACTCCTCTGCCTACTCGCCACTCGCTCTCAGCTCTGCCTTCGGATGAGTCCGTAGAGTCGAGTGGCCCGTTTGCAGAGCTTGTTGGCTGCCTCATGTACCTGATGACCTGCACACGACCTGACCTCGCATACCCTCTTAGCATTCTCGCACGCTTTGTTGCTCCTGGGAGACACCGACCAGAGCACATGGCTGCAGCGAAGAGGGTGTTGCGCTACTTGTGCAGTACGTCGGGCATGGGGCTAGTGCTTGGAGGGCGCAGTCCAGTGGTCCTCACTGGGCACGCAGACGCTTCTTGGGCTGACGACCAGGCTACGCAGCGGTCGTCACAGGGTTACACCTTCAGCCTTGGTTCCGGCTCTGTCTCGTGGCGGGCTACCCGCTCGTCTTCTGTTCTCGGCTCCAGTTGTGAGGCTGAGATCTACGCTGGGGCTATGGCTGCACAGGAGTTACGCTGGCTCACCTACCTGCTGACCGACCTTGGAGAGCAGCCTCGTTCTCCTCCAGTCCTGTACGTAGACAACAAGGCCATGCTGGCCTTGTGTCGAGAGCAGCGACTGGAGCACAGAACGAAGCACATTGCTCTCCGCTACTTTCTTGCTCGTGAGCTACAGCAGCGTGGTCAGTTGCGACTTGCGTACGTGGCCTCTGAGGCCAACACTGCTGATGTCTTCACCAAGGCACTTGCGCCTTGTGATCATCAGCGTTGTTGCACGCAGTTGGGTCTTGTGCCTGTCTTGCCTCACTTGCTCTCCTCTTGACCTTGCTTGTACCTTCGCCTATATATACTCTTGCTCTTGCTTGCTTGACTCTTGTATATCTCTATATATGATCTTGCATGTGAACTGGCCTTCTGGCCTTTGAACTTGTGCTCGGAATGCGTGGTGACTTTGTGATCCACCCTGAGCTTTGCTTTGCTTTGCTTGACTGGTCTTGTGACCCCTTGTTCTCCCCCACTTTGCCTATGGGGGTGTGTCAGAACATATAGCTTACTTGTTTCTGTAGGCTATAGTGGGGTATCCCATAGGGGGTACAACACAATTAGGGTTTCCTATTTGTATTCACTTCACTTCATAGTCATTCACTTCTCGTTCACACTTTCTCACGACGATGGCAAGCCATTTTTGAGACGCCTTCTTTGTATTTATCGTTTTGAGCTAGACGATGCGCGTCGGACTTCTGACGCGATCGGAACCATGTCCGCGCGGGATGGGACAATCCCGAATGGCGCGTCCTGACCACAGCGGTCAAGACGCCCATTAGAACATGCTTTAATGTTATCTTGACCTTCCCTCGTTTTGGTCACTCTTGCTTGAACGCATCTCGACCTCCCGTGAACGCACCGTACGATTATTTTAGCCTCGATCCCATCATCTTGATTTCAGTTGTTCTGCGCGCTCAGCTCGCCTTCCTCCCCACTGCCGGTGTTTCCCTCGTCGTTCCTAGGTCCAAGGCAGCAAAGCCATGTCGACGACGAGTTCGCAACAGGCTGGAAGTGTTCGCAAGGGAAGGTACATTGTAATTGCGGGGCGGCCTTGCAAGGTATACGATGAGGGAAATGTTCAGCTGTATCAGTGCAGCGAGATTGCTCGCTTCCGCTTGTCCATTCTTTCCCGCGAAATGGTAGCTTTCTTGGCCGCTGATGTTTCGCGTTCTTTCTCATACGGTATTTTCATGATCGAAATTCCACAGGTGGTGGAAGTTACTACCTCTCTTACGACGAACGGTCACAAGAAGTGTCATTTTGTCGCAACTGATTTATTCAACAATGAAAGGCTTGAAGAGTCTGTGCCGGCTGCTCTCAATGTCGAGGTGAGTGGATTTGCACAGCAATCTTCGTTGGTCGTTCGTGCCTGTCACGTTTCTCACGAATGGTTGATGGCTTCCCAGATTCCAACAGTGCTCAAAACGGAATATCGGATTCTCGGCTTGGTGGGGTAAGACAGAGTAAGTGCCGATAGGTTTGTGTCATGTTGTTGTTCCCCGACGTTTGTTCTTGGCGTCCTAATAACTGGCTTCATGCTGCTTTAGGTATCTCTTATGAACGATGCGGGCGACACGAGGGATGATCTTTGCCTTCCCACCCACGAGCCTCTCCGCTCACAGGTATCCACTGGACGCCCATATATTCTCTCTTGCGCCATGTGTTTCATGGCGTGCCCAATCATGGCATGTGTTTCATGGCGTGCCCAATCATGGCATGTGTTGCATGGCGTGCCCAATCATGGCATGTGTTTCATGGCGTGCCCAATCATGGCATGTGTTTCATGGCGTGCGCAATTCCACGTTTGGATGTTCGTGCAGATCACCGCCTGCTGTGCAGAAGACAAGGAGCTTGTCGCTATTGTATTCAACGCTATGGATCAGGAGCAGATTTGCGAGGTTAAGGGGGTCGCGTAGTATGATATTTTGATGTGCTCGCATCGCATGACATTCCTTTCTTCATTGTTGATGCTGAAGGCAGTTGGATATTGGGTTTGTTGAACCAGTTACAGCTGAACCTTGTTATTTCATGATGTGTATTAAGATTAGAACAGAGTGCGTGGAACAAGGCAATGATTAGTTTGCAAATGCATAGTTGTTGACACATGGGATGTTGATATCTTGCACAGGCCAGCACCAGGTTGAGTTGAGGGCTGATGCTAGTGTCACTGCAAGTGGCATCATTGCCTGCAGGGGCCGGTGGGCGTCCAGAGACTAACACAACTCTCCACGGCAACATTCCCTTGCTGTGACAAGCATGGCAGCCCCTGCTGTGACAAGCATGGCAGCCCTTGCTGTGACAAGCATGGCAGCCCTTGCCATGTCAAACATGCCCCCTGCTTGCCCATGGTGCCAGCAGGGCGCGCTGCTGCTTGCATGGGCGAGGAGTCAGTGGGTGACTGGAGGCGAGGCGAACCATCTGGGGGCACGCAGCACAGGGAGAGGGCAGCACATGGCAGAACATGGCTAGAAACGAGACATACTAAGCACAGAAGAAAACATCATGGGCAAACCAAGGTCGCCACCTAGAATATTCACACAAGCTGCAGAGGCACCGTGAGTTGCTGCCCTCCCATCTCCCACCCTCCCACCCTCCCATCGCCCACCCTCCCACTCTCCCATCGCGCACCCTCCAAGCCTCCCACCCTCCCATCGCCCACCCTCACGTCTCCCACCCTCCCATCTCCCACCCTCCCATCGCCCACCATCCCGTCTCCCACCCTCCCATCTCCCACCCTCCCATCGCCCACCCTCCCATCGCCCAAGCTACTTGGGGTCGGTGTCTGACAGCCATGCCCATGACCAGCAGAGAGCGCTCCTCTGCTTGTGCTTCCTCTGCTTGCGCTTCCTCTACTTGTGCTTCCTCTCCTTGTGCTTCCTCTGCTTGCGCTTCCTCTGCTTGCGCTTCCTCTGCTTGTGCTTCCTCTGCTTGTGCTTCCTCTGCTTGCGCTTCCTCTGCTTCTGCTTCCTCTGCTTGTGCTTCCTCTGCTTGTGCTTCCTCTGCTTGCGCTTCCTCTGCTTGTGCATCCTCTGCGTGCGCTTCCTCCGCTTGTGCTTCCTCTGCTTACGCTTCCTCTGCTTGCGCTTCCTCTACTTGTGCTTCCTCTGCTTGCGCTTCCTCTGCTTGTGCTTCCTCCGCTTGCGCTTCCTCTGCATGTGCTTCCTCTGCTTGCGCTCCTCTGCTTCTGCTTCCTCTGCTTGTGCTTCCTCTGCTTACGCTTCCTCTCCTTGTGCTTCCTCTGCTTGCGCTTCCTCAGCTTGTGCTTCCTCTACTTGCGCTTCCTCTGCTTGCGCTTCCTCTGCTTGCGCTTCCTCTACTTGTGCTTCCTCTGCTTGCGCTTCCTCTGCTTGTGCTTCCTTTGCTTGTGCTTCCTCTTCTTGTGCTTCCTCTTCTTGTGCTTCCTCTGCTTGCGCTCCTCTGCTTGTGCTTCCTCTGCTTGTGCTTCCTCTGCTTGCACTTCCTCTACTTGTGCTTCCTCTGCTTGTGCTTCCTCTGCTTGCACTTCCTCTGCTTGTGCTTCCTCTGCTTGTGCTTCCTCTGCTTGCGCTTCCTCTTCTTGTGCTTCTACTGCTTGCGCTTCCTCTGCTTGTGCTTCCTCTGCTTGTGGTTCCTCTGCTTGCGCTTCCTCTACTTGCGCTTCCTCTGCTTATGCTTCCTCTGCTTGCGCTTCCTCTGCTTGTGCTTCCTCTGCTTGCGCTTCCTCTGCTTGTGCTTCTTCTGCTTCTGCTTCCTCTGCTTGCGCTTCCTCTGCTTGTGCTTCCTCTGCTTGCGCTTCCTCTGCTTGTGATTCTTCTGCTTCTGCTTCCTCTGCTTGCGCTTCCTCTGCTTGGGCTTCTTCTACTTGTGCTTCCTCTGCTTGTGCTTGGTCTGCTTGTGCTTCCTCTGCTTGCGCTTCCTCTGCTTGCGCTTCCTCTGCCTGCGCTTCCTCTGCTTGTGCTTCCTCTGCTTGTGCTTCCTCTGCTTGTGCTTCCTCTGCTTACGCTTATTCTTCTTGCGCTTCCTCTGCTTGTGCTTCCTCTGCTTGCGCTTCCTCTGCTTGCGCTTCCTCTGCTTGTGCTCCCTGTGCTTGCGCTTCCTCTGCTTGTGCTTCCTCTGCTTGCGCTTCCCCTGCTTGTGCTTCCTCTGCTTGCGCTTCCTCTGCTTGTGCTTCCTCTGCTTGTGCTTCCTCCGCTTGTGCTTCCTCTGCTTGTGCTTCCTCTGCTTGTGCTTCCTCTGCTTGCGCTTCCTCTGCTTACGCTTCCTCTGCTTGCGCTCCTCTGCTTGCGCTTCCTCTGCTTACGCTTCCTCTGCTTGCGCTTCCTCTGCTTCCGCTTCATCTGCTTACGCTTCCTCTACTTGCGCTCCTCTGCTTGCGCTTCCTATGCTTACGCTTCCTCTGCTTGCGCTTCCTCTCCTTGCGCTTCCTTTGCTTGTGTTTCCTCTGCTTGTGCTTCCTCTGCTTGCGCTTCCTCTGCTTGCGCTTCCTCTTCTTGCGCTTCCTCTGCTTGTGCTTCCTCTGCTTACGTTTCCTTTCCTTCTGCTTCCTCCGCTTGCGCTCCTCTGCTTGTGCTTCCTCTGCTTGTGCTTCCTCTGCTTGCGCTCCTTTGCTTGTGCTTCCTCTGCTTGTGCTTCCTCTGACTGCGCTTCCTCTACTTGCGCTTCCTCTGCTTGTGCTTCCTCTGCTTGTGCTTCCTCTTCTTTCGCTTCCTCTGCTTGTGCTTCCCCTGCTTGCGCTTCCTTTGCTTGTGCTTCCTCTACATGCGCTTCCTCTGCTTTTGCTTCCTCTGCGTGCGCTACATCTGCTTGTGCTTCCTCTGCTTATGCTTCCTCTGCTTCCGCTTCCTTTGCTTGCGCTCCTGTGCTTGTGCTTCCTGTGCTTGCGCTTCCTCTGCTTGTGCTCCCTCTGCTTGCGCTTCCTCTGCTTGTTCTTCCTCTTCTTGCGCTTCCTCTGCTTGTGCTTCCTCTGCTTGTGTTTCCTCTGCTTGTGCTTCCTCTGCTTGTGCTTCCTCTGCTTGTGCTTCCTCTGCTTGTGCTTCCTCTGCTTGTGCTTCCTCTGCTTGTGCTTCCTCTGCTTGTGCTTCCTCTGCTTGTGCTTCCTGTGCTTGCGCTTCCTCTGCTTGTGCTTCCTCTGCTTGTGCTTCCTCTGCTTGTGCTTCCTGTGCTTGCGCTTCCTCTGCTTGTGCTTCCTCTGCTTGCACTTCTTCTGCTTGCGCTTCCTCTGCTTGTGCTTTTGACGCTCGCGCTTCCTCTGCTCATGCTTCCTCTGCATGTGCTTCCTCTGCTTGCCCCTCCTTGCTTGCGCTTCCTCTGCTTACGCTTCCTCTGTTTGCACTTCCTCTGCTTCTTCTTCCTGTGCTTGCGCTTCCTCTGCTTGCGCTTCCTCTGCTTGTGCTTCCTCTGCTTCTGCTTCCTCTGCTTGCGCTTCCTCTGCTTGTGCTTCCTCTGCTTGCGCTTCCTCTGCTTGTGCTTCCTCTTCTTGCGCTTCCTCTGCTTGTGCTTCCTCTGCTTGCGCTTCCTATGCTTGTGCTTCCTCTGCTTGCGCTTCCTCTGCTTGTGCTTCCTCTGCTTACGCTTCCTTTTCTTGTGCTTCCTCTGCTTGCGCTTTCTCTGCTTATGCTTCCTCTGCTTGTTCTTCCTCTGCTTGCGCTTCCTCTACTTGTGCTTCCTCTGCTTGCGCTTCCTCTCCTTGTGCTTCCTCTGCTTGCGCTTCCTCTGCTTGCGCTTCCTTTGCTTGTGCTTCCTCTGCTTGTGCTTCCTCTGCTTGTGCTTCCTCTGCTTGTGCTTCCTCTGCTTGTGCTTCCTCTGCTTGTGCTTCCTCTGCTTGTGCTTCCTCTGCTTGTGCTTCCTCTGCTTGCGCTTCCTCTGCTTGTGCTTCCTTAGCTTGTGATTCCTCTGCTTGCGATTCCTTTGCTTACGCTTCCTTTGCTTGTGCTTCCTCTGCTTACGCTTTCTCTGCTTGCGCTTCCTCTGCTTTTGCTTCTTGTGCTTGCGCTTCCTCTGCTTGTGCTTCCTCTGCTTGCACTTCCTCTGCTTGCGCTTCCTCTGCTTGTGCTTTTGACGCTCGCGCTTCCTCTGCTCATGCTTCCTCTGCATGTGCTTCCTCTGCTTGCGCTTCCTCTGCTTGCGCTTCCTCTGCTTACGCTTCCTCTGTTTGCGCTTCCTCTGCTTGCGCTTCCTCTGCTTGTGCTTCCTCTGCTTGCGCTTCCTGTGCTTGTGCTTCCTCTGCTTGCGCTTCCTATGCTTGTGCTTCCTCTGCTTGCGCTTCCTCTGCTTGTGCTTCCTCTGCTTACGCTTCCTTTTTTTTGTGCTTCCTCTGCTTGCGCTTTCTTTGCTTGCGCTTCCTCTGCTTGTTCTTCCTCTGCTTGCGCTTCCTCTGCTTGCGCTTCCTCTGCTTGCGCTTCCTCTGCTTGCGCTTCCTCTGCTTGTGCTTCCTCTGCTTGCGCTTCCTCTGCTTGCGCTTCCTCTGCTTTTGCTTCCTCTGCTTGCGCTACCTCGGCTTGTGATTCCTCTGCTTGCGCATCCTCTGCTTGTGCTTTCTCTGCTTGTGCTTCCTCTGCTTGTACTTCCTCTTCTTGTGCTTCCTCTGCTTGTGCTTCCTCTACTTGTGCATCCTCTGCTTGTGCTTCCTCTGCTTGTGCTTCCTCTGCTTGTGCTTCCTCTACTTGCGCTTCCTCTGCTTACGCTTCCTCTGCTTGCGCTCCTCTGCTTGCGCTTCCTCTGCTTACGCTTCCTCTAGTTGCGCTTCTTCTGCTTGCGCTTCCTCTGCTTACGCTTCCTCCACTTGCGCTCCTCTGCTTGCGCTTCCTCTGCTTGCGCTTCCTCTGCTTGTGCTTTTGACGCTCGCGCTTCCTCTGCTCATGCTTCCTCTGCATGTGCTTCCTCTGCTTGCGCTTCCTCTGCTTGCGCTTCCTCTGCTTACGCTTCCTCTGTTTGCGCTTCCTCTGCTTCTTCTTCCTGTGCTTGCGCTTCCTCTGCATGCGCTTCCTCTGCTTGCGCTTCCTCTGCTTGTGCTTCCTCTGCTTGTGCTTCCTCTGCTTGCGCTTTCACTGCTTGCGCTCTTCTGCTTGTGCTTCCTCTGCTTGCGCTTCCTCTGATTCTGCTTCCTCTGCTTGCGCCTTCTCTGCTTGTGCTTCCTCTGCTTGCGCTTCCTCTGCTTGCGCTTCCTCTGCTTGCGCTTTCTCTGCTTGTGCTTCCTCTGCTTATGCTTCCTCTGCTTGTGCTTCCTCTGCTTGCGCTTCCTCTGCTTGTGCTTCCTCTGCTTGCGCTTCCTCTGCTTGCGCTTCCTCTGTTTGCGCTTCCTCTGCTTGCGCTTCCTCCGCTTGCGCTTCCTCTGCTTGCGCTTCCTCTGCTTGGGCTCCTCTGCTTGTGCTTCCTCTGCTTATGCTTCCTCTGCTTGCGCTTCCTCTGCTTGTGCTTCCTCTGCTTCTGCTTCCTCTACTTGCGCATCCTCTGCTTGTGCTTCCTCTGCTTGCGCTTCCTCTGCTTGCGCTTCCTCTGCTTGTGCTTCCTCTGCTTGCGCTTCCTCTGCTTGTGCTTCCTCTGCTTGTGCTTCCTCTGCTTGCGCTTCCTCTGCTTGCGCTTCCTCTGATTGTGCTTCCTCTGAGTGGGCTTCCTCTTCTTGTGCTTCCTCTGCTTGCGCTTCTTCTGCTTGTGCTTTCATTGCTTGTGCTTCCTCCGCTTGCGCTTCCTCTTCTTGTGCTTCTTCTGCTTGTGCTTCCTCTACTTGTGCTTCCTCTCCTTGTGCTTCCTCTACTTGCGCTTCCTCTTCTTGTGCTTCCACTGCTTGTGCTTCATCTACTTGCGCTTCCTCTCCTTGCGCTTCCTCTGCTTGCGCTTCTCTGCTTGTGCTTCCTCTGCTTGTGCTTCCTGTGCTTGCGCTTCCTCTGCTTAGGCTTCCTCTGTTTTCGCTTCCTCTTCTTGCACTTCCTCTTCTTGCCAGGGGTGGTGGCAGTGGGAGAAGCATCAGCACTGCAGCGTGTGGGGATGTCGGTCCCATCGTTGGCTCTAATGTTGTCGATTGTTGCACGGTTGACTGTAGCGCGGTTGACTGTAGCGCGGTTGACTGTGGCACTGTTGACTGTAGCACGGTTGACTGTAGCACGGTTGACTGTGGCACGGTTGACTGTAGCACGGTTGACTGTAGCACGGTTGACTGTAGTAGTGTAGATTATAGCACCGACATGGACTGTACCACCATTGTCTGTTGCACAGTTGTCCGTAGCACCACTGACTGTAGCACCACTGACTGTAGCACCACTGACTGTAGCACCACTGACTGTAGCACCACTGACTGTAGCGCCACTGACTGTAGCGCCACTGACTCTAGTACTTATAACTGTGACAATATTGAGTGTGGCACTGCTGACTGTAGCAGTGGTTGTAATGGGGTTGGTGACACTGCCATTTTGAGTGGCAACAGTGGTGCTGACAGGGGCAGCGGTGGCACTGGTGGTGATAGTTGTGGCAGCTGCAGCAGATGTGGCAGCAGTGGCAGCTGCAGCTGCACTGGCTGCAGCGGCAGTCAATGGCGATGTGTCGAGAGTGCAGATAGTGACAGGGGTTACATCAAAAGCTCGATTTGCAGCAAGGGCGGAAGCAACAGTGGCTGCAGTCCCAGTCACCATGCTTGGAGGATGAATGGAAAGAAGAATATATATTTCGGCACCGGAGGCTGCAATGGTAGCAACGGTGGCAGCAGTGGTGGCAGGAGGATGCAAGGTAGTATGCACCAGAAACAGATGTCATGTGGTTTGCGTGCACTATTACATGGCTCTGCTCTATGCTGTGTTGTTGGTTGCAGCCTGTTGCCATGGGTTGCCTTGAGTGTACAGATAGCAAGCTGTGTTATGCAGTTAGGGAGTTGTGCGTGTGTAACATTTGTACATTCCTCTGTTCTCCCAGCTGGTATTGGGTGAGTTGAGTATAATCAAGCCAGCTGTTGCTTGTGTTTAATAGAGTTCAATAAGGTATTATTTTTTAATCGCTGAGAAAATTTGTGCAAGTGGTTGCATTTGTTGATAATCAGGTCGTTGTTTTTCTCCCCTTGGTGTAATGCACCGGATGTTGCTAAGCAAGAAAATTGAGACAACGAGTTGCATGCACTGTATTAGAATAAAGATATACAGACTCTATATAACATGCAACTCTATTGCGTCACGGGAACACCGCTATCGGTTGGGCGCGTCTGTTGCTTGGTTGGCAAGGGCTGGTCATTCTTCTTGTGCTTACGTTTCATGTATCACACTGTTCAGTTTGGTGAAAAGCGGTTCAGAGCGCCTGAGAAAACAAACCGCTGTGCATTGCACAGCATTGTACTCTACCGCTTATTATGAACTGTAAGCACACTATACGTGAACCACCCCAGTCCACAATTTTCCAGACCCTCGGCTGAACTGCTTGGGTGGCTGTTAGGACGACGATGGCAAGCCATTTTTGAGACGCCTTCTTTGTATTTATCGTTTTGAGCTAGACGATGTGCGTCCGACTTCTGACGCGATCGGAACCATGTCCGCGCGGGATGGGACAATCCCGAATGGCGCGTCCTGACCACAGCGGTCAAGACGCCCATTAGAACATGCTTTAATGTCATCTTGACCTTCCCTCGTTTTGGTCACTCTTGCTTGAACGCATCTCGACCTCCACGCACCGTACGATTATTTTAGCCTCGATCCCATCATCTTGATTTCAGTTGTTCTGCGCGCTCAGCTCGCCTTCCTCCCCACTGCCGGTGTTTCCCTCGTCGTTCCTAGGTCCAAGGCAGCGAAGCCATGTCGACGACGAGTTCGCAACAGGCTGGAAGTGTTCGCAAGGGAAGGTACATTGTAATTGCGGGGCGGCCTTGCAAGGTATACGATGAGGGAAATGTTCAGCTGTATCAGTGCAGCGAGATTGCTCGCTTCCGCTTGTCCATTCTTTCCCGCGAAATGGTAGCTTTCTTGGCCGCTGATGTTTCGCGTTCTTTCTCATACGGTATTTTCATGATCGAAATTCCACAGGTGGTGGAAGTTACTACCTCTCTTACGACGAACGGTCACAAGAAGTGTCATTTTGTCGCAACTGATTTATTCAACAATGAAAGGCTTGAAGAGTCTGTGCCGGCTGCTCTCAATGTCGAGGTGAGTGGATTTGCACAGCAATCTTCGTTGGTCGTTCGTGCCTGTCACGTTTCTCACGAATGGTTGATGGCTTCCCAGATTCCAACAGTGCTCAAAACGGAATATCGGATTCTCGGCTTGGTGGGGTAAGACAGAGTAAGTGCCGATAGGTTTGTGTCATGTTGTTGTTCCCCGGCGTTTGTTCTTGGCGTCCTAATAATTGGCTTCATGCTGCTTTAGGTATCTCTTATGAACGATGCGGGCGACACGAGGGATGATCTTTGCCTTCCCACCCACGAGCCTCTCCGCTCACAGGTATCCACTGGACGCCCGTATATTCTCTCTTGCGCCATGTGTTTCATGGCGTGCCCAATCATGGCATGTGTTTCATGGCGTGCCCAATCATGGCATGTGTTGCATGGCGTGCCCAATCATGGCATGTGTTTCATGGCGTGCCCAATCATGGCATGTGTTTCATGGCGTGCACAATTCCACGTTTGGATGTTCGTGCAGATCACCGCCTGCTGTGTAGAAGACAAGGAGCTTGTCGCTATTGTATTCAGCGCTATGGATCAGGAGCAGATTTGCGAGGTTAAGGGGGTCGCGTAGTATGATATTTCGATGTGCTCGCATCGCATGACATTCCTTTCTTCATTGTTGATGCTGAAGGCAGTTAGATATTGGGTTTGTTGAACCAGTTACAGCTGAACCTTGTTATTTCATGATGTGTATTAAGATTAGAACAGAGTGCGTGGAACAAGGCAATGATTAGTTTGCAAATGCATAGTTGTTGACACATGGGATGTTGATATCTTGCACAGGCCAGCACCAGGTTGAGTTGAGGGCTGATGCTAGTGTCACTGCAAGTGGCATCATTGCCTGCAGGGGCCGGTGGGCGTCCAGAGACTAACACAACTCTCCACGGCAACATTCCCTTGCTGTGACAAGCATGGCAGCCCCTGCTGTGACAAGCATGGCAGCCCTTGCTGTGACAAGCATGGCAGCCCTTGCCATGTCAAACATGCCCCCTGCTTGCCCATGGTGCCAGCAGGGCGCGCTGCTGCTTGCATGGGCGAGGACTCAGTGGGTGACTGGAGGCGAGGCAAACCATCTGGGGGCACGCAGCACAGGGAGAGGGCAGCACATGGCAGAACATGGCTAGAAACGAGACATACTAAGCACAGAAGAAAACATCATGGGCAAACCAAGGTCGCCACCTAGAATATTCACACAAGCTGCAGAGGCACCGTGAGTTGCTGCCCTCCCATCTCCCACCCTCCCACCCTCCCATCGCCCACCCTCCCATCGCGCACCCTCCCAGCCTCCCACCCTCCCATCGCCCACCCTCACGTCTCCCACCCTCCCATCTCCCACCCTCCCATCGCCCACCATCCCGTCTCCCACCCTCCCATCTCCCACCCTCCCATCGCCCACCCTCCCATCGCCCAAGCTACTTGGGGTCGGTGTCTGACAGCCATGCCCATGACCAGCAGAGAGCGCTCCTCTGCTTGTGCTTCCTCTGCTTGCGCTTCCTCTACTTGTGCTTCCTCTCCTTGTGCTTCCTCTCCTTGCGCTTCCTCTGCTTGCGCTTCCTCTGCTTGCGCTTCCTCTGCTTGTGCTTCCTTTGCTTGCGCCTCCTCTGCTTGTGCTTCCTCTGCTTGTGCTTCCTCTGCATATGCTTCCTCTGCTTGCGCTTCCTCTGCTTGTGCTTCCTCTGCGTGCGCTTCCTCCGCTTGTGCTTCCTCTGCTTACGCTTCCTCTGCTTGCGCTTCCTCTGCTTGTGCTTCCTCTGCTTGCGCTTCCTCTGCTTGTGCTTCCTGTGCTTGCGCTTCCTCTACATGTGCTTCCTTTGCTTGCGCTCCTCTGCTTCTGCTTCCTCTGCTTGTGCTTCCTCTGCTTATGCTTCCTCTCCTTGTGCTTCCTCAGCTTGCGCTTCCTCAGCTTGTGCTTCCTCTACTTGCGCTTCCTCTGCTTGTGCTTCCTCTGCTTGCGCTTCCTCTACTTGTGCTTCCTCTGCTTGCGCTTCCTCTGCTTGTGCTTCCTCTGCTTGTGCTTCCTCTGCTTATGCTTCCTCTGCTAGTGCTTCCTCAGCTTGTGCTTCCTCTGCTTGCGCTCCTCTGCTTGTGCTTCCTCTGCTTGTGCTTCCTCTGCTTGCGCTTCCTCTACTTGTGCTTGCTCTGCTTGTGCTTCCTCTGCTTGCACTTCCTGTGCTTGTGCTTCCTCTGCTTGTGCTTCCTCTGCTTCTGTTCCTCTGCTTCCGCTTCCTCTGCTTGCGCTTCCTCTGCTTGTCCTTTCTCTGCTTACGTGTCCTCTCCTTCTGCTTCCTCCGCTTGCACTCCTCCGCTTAGGCTTCCTCTGCTTGTGCTTCCTGTGCTTGCGCTTCCTCTGCTTGTGCTTCCTCTGCCTGCGCTTCCTCTGCTTGCGCTTCCTCTGCTTGTGCTTCCTCTGCTTGTGCACCCTTTTCTTTCGCTTCCTCTGCTTGTGCTTCCTTTGCTTGCGCTTCCTTTGCTTGTGCTTCCTCTATATGCGCTTCCTCTGGTTTTGCTTCCTCTGCGTGCGCTTCCTCTGGTTGTGCTTCCTCTTCTTGCGCTTCCTTTGCTTGTGCTTCCTCTACATGCGCTTTCTCTGCTTTTGCTTCCTCTGCGTGCGCTTCCTCTGCTTGTGCTTCCTCTGCTAACGCTTCCTCTGCTTGCGCTTCCTCTGCTTGTGCTTCCTCTGCTTGCGCTTCCTCTGCTTGCGCTTCCTCTGCTTGTGCTCCCTCAGCTTGCGCTTCCTCTGCTTGTTCTTCCTCTTCTTGCGCTTCCTCTGCTTGTGCTTCCTCTGCTTGTGCTTCCTCTGCTTGTGCTTCCTCTGCTTGTGCTTCCTCTGCTTGTGCTTCCTCTGCTTGTGCTTCCTCTGCTTGTGCTTCCTCTGCTTGTGCTTCCTCTGCTTGCGCTTCCTCTGCTTGTGCTTCCTTAGCTTGTGATTCCTCTGCTTGCGATTCCTTTGCTTACGCTTCCTTTGCTTGTGCTTCATCTGCTTACGCTTTCTCTGCTTGCGCTTCCTCTGCTTGTGCTTCCTTTGCTTGCGCTTCCTCTGCTTGTGCTTCCTCTGCTTGCACTTCCTCTGCTTGCGCTTCCTCTGCTTGTGCTTTTGACGCTTGCGCTTCCTCTGCTCATGCTTCCTCTGCATGTGCTTCCTCTGCTTGCGCTTCCTCTGCTTGCGCTTCCTCTGCTTACGCTTCCTCTGTTTGTGCTTCCTCTTCTACTTCTTCCTGTGCTTGCGCTTCTTCTGCTTGCGCATCCTTTGCTTGTGCTTCCTCTGCTTACGCTTTCTCTGCTTGCGCTTCCTCTGCTTGTGCTTCCTTTGCTTGCGCTTCCTCTGCTTGTGCTTCCTCGGCTTGCGCTTTCTCTGCTTGTGCTTCCTCTGCTTGCGCTTCCTCTGCTTGTGCTTCCTCTGCTTATGCTTCTTCTGCTTGTGCTTCCTATGCTTGCACTTCCTATGCTTGTGCCTCCTCTGCTTGCGCTTCCTCTGCTTGTGCTTCCTCTGCTTACGCTTCCTTTTCTTGTGCTTCCTCTGCTTGCGCTTCCGCTGCTTGCGCTTCCTCTGCTTGTTCTTCCTCTGCTTGCGCTTCCTCTGCTTGCGCTTCCTCTGCTTGCGCTTCCTCTCCTTGCGCTTCCTCTACTTGCGCTACCTCGGCTTGTGATTCCTCTGCTTGCGCATCCTCTGCTTGTGCTTCCTCCGCTTGTGCTTCCTCTTCTTGTACTTCCTCTTCTTGTGCTTCCTCTGCTTGTGCTTCCTCTACTTGTGCATCCTCTGCTTGTGCTTCCTCTGCTTGTACTTCCTCTACTTGCGCTTCCTCTGCTTACGCTTCCTCTGCTTGCGCTTCCTCTGCTTACGCTTCCTCTGCTTACGCTTCCTCCACTTGCGCTCCTCTACTTGCGCTTCCTCTGCTTACGCTTCCTCTAGTTACGCTTCCTCTGTTTGCGCTTCCTCTGCTTACGCTTCCTCCACTTGCGCTCCTCTGCTTGCGCTTCCTCTGCTTACGCTTCCTCTGCTTGCGCCTCCTCTGCTTGCGCTTCCTGTGCTTGTGCTTCCTCTGCTTGTGCTTCCTCTGCTTGCGCTTCCACTGCTTGCGCTTCTTCTGCTTGTGCTTCCTATGCTTGCGCTGCCTCTATTTGCGCTTCCTCTGCTTGCGTTTCCTCTGCTTGCGCTCTTCTGCTTGTGCTTCCTCTCCTTGCGCTTCCTCTGCTTCTGCTTCCTCTACTTGCGCCTCCTCTGCTTGTGCTTCCTCTACTTGCGCTTCCTTTGCTTGCGCTTCCTCTGCTTGCGCTTTCTCTGCTTGTGCTTCCTCTGCTTATGCTTCCTCTGCTTGTGCTTCCTCTGCTTGCGCTTCCTCTGCTTGTGCTTCCTCTACTTGCGCTTCCTTTGCTTGCGCTTCCTCTGTTTGCGCTTCCTCTGCTTGCGCTTCCTCTGCTTGCGCTTCCTCTGCTTGCGCTTCCTCTGCTTGGGCTCCTCTGCTTGTGCTTCCTCTGCTTATGCTTCCTCTGCTTGCGCTTCCTCTGCTTGTGCTTCCTCTGCTTGTGCTTCCTCTACTTGCGCATCCTCTGCTTGTGCTTCCTCTACTTGCGCTTCCTCTGCTTGCGCTTCCTCTTCTTGTGCTTCCTCTGCTTGCGCTTCCTCTGCTTGTGCTTCCTCTGCTTGTGCATCCTCTGCTTGCGCTTCCTCTGCTTGCGCTTCCTCTGATTGTGCTTCCTCTGAGAGCGCTTCCTCTTCTTGTGCTTTCTCTGCTTGCGCTTCTTCTGCTTGTGCTTTCATTGCTTGTGCTTCCTCTGCTTGCGCTTCCTCTTCTTGTGCTTCTTCTGCTTGTGCTTCCTCTACTTGCGCTTCCTCTGCTTGGGCTCTTGTGCTTGTGCTTCCACTGCTTGTGCTTCCTCTGCTTGCGCTTCCTGTGCTTGTGCTTCCTCTGCTTCTGCTTCCTCTGCTTGCACTTCCTCTGCTTGCGCTTCCTCTGCTTGCGCTCCTCTGCTTGTGCTTCCTCTACTTGTGCTTCCTCTGTTTGCGCTTCCTCTAGTTGTGCTTCTGCTGCTTGTGCTTCCTCTGCTTGTGCTTTCTCTGCTTGTGCTTCTTCTGCTTGCGCTTCCTCTGCTTGCGCTTCCTCTGCTTGCGCTTCCTCTGCTTGTGCTTCCTCTGCTTGTGCTTCCTCTGCTTGCGCTTCCTCTGCTTGCGCTTCCTCTGCTTGCGCTTCCTCTGCTTGTGCTTTCTCTGCTTGCGCTTCCTCTACTTGTGCTTCCTCTGCTTGTGCTCCTCTGCTTGCGCTTCCTCTGCTTGCGCTTCCTATGCTTGTGCTTCCTCTTCTTGCGCTTCCTCTGCTTGTGCTTCCTCTGCTTGCTCTTCCTTTGCTTACGCTTCCTCTGCATGCGCTCCTCTGCTTGTGCTTGATCTGCTTGTGCTTCCTCTTCTTGCGCTTCCTCTGCTTGTGCTTCCTCTGCTTGTGCTTTCTCTGCTTGCTCTTCCTCTGCTTGCGCTTCCTCAGCAGGCGCTTCCTCTACTTGGGCTCCTCTGCTTGTGCTTCCTCTGCTTGTGCTTCCTCTGCTTGTGCTTCCTCTGCTTGCGCTTCCTCTGCTTGCGCTTCCTCTGCTTGCGCTTCCTCTGCTTGCGCTTCCTCTGCTTGTTCTTCCTCTGCTTGCGCTTCCTCTGCTTGCACTTCCTCTGCTTGAGCTCCTCTGCTTGCGCTTCCTCTGCTTGCGCTTCCTATGCTTGTGCTTCCTCTTCTTGCGCTTCCTCTGCTTACGCTTCTTCTGCTTGTGCTTCCTCTGCTTGCTCTTCCTTTGCTTACGCTTCCTCTGCTTGCGCTCCTGTGCTTGTGCTTTCTCTGCTTGTGCTTCCTCTGCTTGCGCTTCCTTTGCTTGCGCTTCCTCTGCTTGCGCTTTCTCTGCTTGTGCTTCCTCTGCTTATGCTTCCTCTGCTTGTGCTTCCTCTGCTTGCGCTTCCTCTGCTTGTGCTTCCTCTACTTGCGCTTCCTTTGCTTGCGCTTCCTCTGTTTGCGCTTCCTCTGCTTGCGCTTCCTCTGCTTGCGCTTCCTCTGCTTGCGCTTCCTCTGCTTGGGCTCCTCTGCTTGTGCTTCCTCTGCTTATGCTTCCTCTGCTTGCGCTTCCTCTGCTTGTGCTTCCTCTGCTTGTGCTTCCTCTACTTGCGCATCCTCTGCTTGTGCTTCCTCTACTTGCGCTTCCTCTGCTTGCGCTTCCTCTTCTTGTGCTTCCTCTGCTTGCGCTTCCTCTGCTTGTGCTTCCTCTGCTTGTGCTTCCTCTGCTTGCGCTTCCTCTGCTTGCGCTTCCTCTGATTGTGCTTCCTCTGAGAGCGCTTCCTCTTCTTGTGCTTCCTCTGCTTGCGCTTCTTCTGCTTGTGCTTTCATTGCTTGTGCTTCCTCTGCTTGCGCTTCCTCTTCTTGTGCTTCTTCTGCTTGTGCTCCCTCTACTTGCGCTTCCTCTGCTTGGGCTCTTGTGCTTGTGCTTCCACTGCTTGTGCTTCCTCTGCTTGCGCTTCCTGTGCTTGTGCTTCCTCTGCTTCTGCTTCCTCTGCTTGCACTTCCTCTGCTTGCGCTTCCTCTGCTTGCGCTCCTCTGCTTGTGCTTCCTCTACTTGTGCTTCCTCTCTTTGCGCTTCCTCTAGTTGTGCTTCTGCTGCTTGTGCTTCCTCTGCTTGTGCTTTCTCTGCTTGTGCTTCTTCTGCTTGCGCTTCCTCTGCTTGCGCTTCCTCTGCTTGCACTTCCTCTGCTTGTGCTTCCTCTGCTTGTGCTTCCTCTGCTTGCGCTTCCTCTGCTTGTGCTTCCTCTGCTTGTGCTTCCTCTGCTTGCGCTTCTTCTGCTTGCGCTTCCTCTGCTTGCGCTTCCTCTGCTTGCGCTTCCTCTGCTTGTTCTTCCTCTGCTTGCGCTTCCTCTGCTAGCACTTCCTCTGCTTGTCCTCCTCTGCTTGCGCTTCCTCTGCTTGCGCTTCCTATGCTTGCGCTTCCTCTTCTTGTGCTTCCTCTGCTTACGCTTCCTCTGCTTGTGCTTCCTCCGCTTGCTCTTCCTTTGCTTACGCTTCCTCTGCTTGCGCTCCTCTGCTTGTGCTTTCTCTGCTTGTGCTTTCTCTGCTTGCGCTTCCTCTGCTTGTGCTTCCTCTGCTTGTGCTCCTCTGCTTGCGCTTCCTCTGCTTGCGCTTCCTATGCTTGCGCTTCCTCTTCTTGTGCTTCCTCTGCTTACGCTTCCTCTGCTTGTGCTTCCTCTGCTTGCTCTTCCTTTGCGTACGCTTCCTCTGCTTGCGCTCCTGTTCTTGTGCTTTCTCTGCTTGTGCTTCCTCTGCTTGCGCTTCCTCTGCTTGTGCTTCCTCTGCTTGCGCTTCCTCTGCTTGTGCTTCCTTTGCTTGCGCTTCCTCTGCTTGCGCTCCTCTGCTTGTGCTTCCTCTGCTTGCGCTTCCTCTGCTTGCGCTCCTCTGCTTGTGCTTCCTCTGCTTACGCTTCCTCTACTTGTGCTTCTCTGCTTGCGCTTCCTCTGCTTGTGCTTCCTCTGCTTGCGCTTCCTCTGCTTGCGCTTCCTCTGCTTGCGCTTCCTCTGCTTGCGCTTTCTCTGCTTATGCTTCCTCTGCTTATGCTTCCTCAGCTTGTGCTTCCTCTGCTTGCGCTTCCTCTGCTTGTGCTTCCTCTGCTTACGCTTCCTCTGCTTGTGCTTCCTGTGCTTGCGCTTTCTCTTCTTGGGCTCCTTTGCTTGTGCTTCCTCTGCTTGTGCTTCCTCTGCTTGCGCTTTCTCTGCTCGTGCTTCCTGTGCTTGTGCTTCCTCTGCTTGCGCTTCCTCTGCTTTTGCTTCCTCTGCTTGCGCTTCCTCTGCTTGCGCTTCTTCTGCTTGTGGTTCCTCTGCTTGTGCTTCCTCTGCTTGTGCTTCCTCTACTTGCGCTTCCTCTGCTTGCGCTTCCTCTGCTTGTGCTCTTTGGTTGTGCTTCCTCTACTTGTGCTTCCTCTGCTTGCACTTCCTTTAGTTGTGTTTCCGCTGCTTGTGCTTCCTCTACTTGTGCTTTCTCTGCTTGCTCTTCCTCTGCTTGTGCTTCCTCTGCTTGCGCTTCCTCTGTTTGGGCTCCTCTGCTTGTGCTTCCTCTGCTTATGCTTCCTCTGCTTGCGCTTCCTCTGCTTGTGCTTCCTCTGCTTGTGCTTCCTCTGCTTGCGGTTCCTCTGCTTGCGCTTCCTCTGCTTGCGCTTCCTCTGCTTGCGCTTCCTCTGCTTGTTCTTCCTCTGCTTGCGCTTCCTCTGCTTGCACTTCCTCTGCTTGTGCTCCTCTGCTTGCGCTTCCTCTGCTTGCGCTTCCTATGCTTGTGCTTCCTCTTCTTGCGCTTCCTCTGCTTACGCTTCTTCTGCTTGTGCTTCCTCTGCTTGCTCTTCCTTTGCTTACGCTTCCTCTGCTTGCGCTCCTGTGCTTGTGCTTTCTCTGCTTGTGCTTCCTCTGCTTGCGCTTCCTCTGCTTGTGCTTCCTTTGCTTGCGCTTCCTCTACTTGTGCTTCCTCTGCTTGTGCTTCCTCTGCTTGCTCTTCCTTTGCGTACGCTTCCTCTGCTTGCGCTCCTCTGCTTGTGCTTTCTCTGCTTGTGCTTCCTCTGCTTGCGCTTCCTCTGCTTGTGCTTCCTCTGCTTGCGCTTCCTCTACTTGTGCTTCCTTTGCTTGCGCTTCCTCTGCTTGTGCTTCCTCTGCTTGTGCTTCCTCTGCTTGCGCTTCCTCTGCTTGCGCTCCTCTGCTTGTGCTTCCTCTGCTTGCGCTTCCTCTGCTTGTGCTTCGCTGCTTGCGCTTCCTCTGCTTGTGCTTCCTCTCCTTGCGCTTCCTCTGCTTGCGCTTCCTCTGCTTGCGCTTCCTCTGATTGCGCTTCCTCTGCTTGCGCTTTCTCTGCTAATGCTTCCTCTGCTTATGCTTCCTCAGCTTGTGCTTCCTCTGCTTGCGCTTCCTCTGCTTGTGCTTCCTCTGCTTACGCTTCCTCTGCTTGCGCTTCCTGTGCTTGCGCTTCCTCTGCTTGCGCTTCCTCTGCTTGCGCTTCCTCTGCTTGCGCTTCCTCTGCTTGCGCTTCCTCTGCTTGCGCTTCCTCTGCTTGCGCTTTCTCTCCTTGGGATCCTTTGCTTGTGCTTCCTCTGCTTGTGCTTCCTTTGCTTGCGCTTTCTCTGCTTGTGCTTCCTCTGCTTGTGCTTCCTCTACTTGCGCTTCCTCTGCTTTTGCTTCCTCTGCTTGCGCTTCCTCTGCTTGCGCTTCTTCTGCTTGTGGTTCCTCTACTTGTGCTTCCTGTGCTTGTGCTTCCTCTACTTGCGCTTCCTCTGCTTGCGCTTCCTCTGCTTGTGCTCTTTGGTTGTGCTTCCTCCGCTTGTGCTTCCTCTTCTTGTACTTCCTCTTCTTGTGCTTCCTCTGCTTGTGCTTCCTCTACTTGTGCATCCTCTGCTTGTGCTTCCTCTGCTTGTACTTCCTCTACTTGCGCTTCCTCTGCTTACGCTTCCTCTGCTTGCGCTTCCTCTGCTTACGCTTCCTCTGCTTACGCTTCCTCCACTTGCGCTCCTCTACTTGCGCTTCCTCTGCTTACGCTTCCTCTAGTTACGCTTCCTCTGTTTGCGCTTCCTCTGCTTACGCTTCCTCCACTTGCGCTCCTCTGCTTGCGCTTCCTCTGCTTACGCTTCCTCTGCTTGCGCCTCCTCTGCTTGCGCTTCCTGTGCTTGTGCTTCCTCTGCTTGTGCTTCCTCTGCTTGCGCTTCCACTGCTTGCGCTTCTTCTGCTTGTGCTTCCTATGCTTGCGCTGCCTCTATTTGCGCTTCCTCTGCTTGCGTTTCCTCTGCTTGCGCTCTTCTGCTTGTGCTTCCTCTCCTTGCGCTTCCTCTGCTTCTGCTTCCTCTACTTGCGCCTCCTCTGCTTGTGCTTCCTCTACTTGCGCTTCCTTTGCTTGCGCTTCCTCTGCTTGCGCTTTCTCTGCTTGTGCTTCCTCTGCTTATGCTTCCTCTGCTTGTGCTTCCTCTGCTTGCGCTTCCTCTGCTTGTGCTTCCTCTACTTGCGCTTCCTTTGCTTGCGCTTCCTCTGTTTGCGCTTCCTCTGCTTGCGCTTCCTCTGCTTGCGCTTCCTCTGCTTGCGCTTCCTCTGCTTGGGCTCCTCTGCTTGTGCTTCCTCTGCTTATGCTTCCTCTGCTTGCGCTTCCTCTGCTTGTGCTTCCTCTGCTTGTGCTTCCTCTACTTGCGCATCCTCTGCTTGTGCTTCCTCTACTTGCGCTTCCTCTGCTTGCGCTTCCTCTTCTTGTGCTTCCTCTGCTTGCGCTTCCTCTGCTTGTGCTTCCTCTGCTTGTGCATCCTCTGCTTGCGCTTCCTCTGCTTGCGCTTCCTCTGATTGTGCTTCCTCTGAGAGCGCTTCCTCTTCTTGTGCTTTCTCTGCTTGCGCTTCTTCTGCTTGTGCTTTCATTGCTTGTGCTTCCTCTGCTTGCGCTTCCTCTTCTTGTGCTTCTTCTGCTTGTGCTTCCTCTACTTGCGCTTCCTCTGCTTGGGCTCTTGTGCTTGTGCTTCCACTGCTTGTGCTTCCTCTGCTTGCGCTTCCTGTGCTTGTGCTTCCTCTGCTTCTGCTTCCTCTGCTTGCACTTCCTCTGCTTGCGCTTCCTCTGCTTGCGCTCCTCTGCTTGTGCTTCCTCTACTTGTGCTTCCTCTGTTTGCGCTTCCTCTAGTTGTGCTTCTGCTGCTTGTGCTTCCTCTGCTTGTGCTTTCTCTGCTTGTGCTTCTTCTGCTTGCGCTTCCTCTGCTTGCGCTTCCTCTGCTTGCGCTTCCTCTGCTTGTGCTTCCTCTGCTTGTGCTTCCTCTGCTTGCGCTTCCTCTGCTTGCGCTTCCTCTGCTTGCGCTTCCTCTGCTTGTGCTTTCTCTGCTTGCGCTTCCTCTACTTGTGCTTCCTCTGCTTGTGCTCCTCTGCTTGCGCTTCCTCTGCTTGCGCTTCCTATGCTTGTGCTTCCTCTTCTTGCGCTTCCTCTGCTTGTGCTTCCTCTGCTTGCTCTTCCTTTGCTTACGCTTCCTCTGCATGCGCTCCTCTGCTTGTGCTTGATCTGCTTGTGCTTCCTCTTCTTGCGCTTCCTCTGCTTGTGCTTCCTCTGCTTGTGCTTTCTCTGCTTGCTCTTCCTCTGCTTGCGCTTCCTCAGCAGGCGCTTCCTCTACTTGGGCTCCTCTGCTTGTGCTTCCTCTGCTTGTGCTTCCTCTGCTTGTGCTTCCTCTGCTTGCGCTTCCTCTGCTTGCGCTTCCTCTGCTTGCGCTTCCTCTGCTTGCGCTTCCTCTGCTTGTTCTTCCTCTGCTTGCGCTTCCTCTGCTTGCACTTCCTCTGCTTGAGCTCCTCTGCTTGCGCTTCCTCTGCTTGCGCTTCCTATGCTTGTGCTTCCTCTTCTTGCGCTTCCTCTGCTTACGCTTCTTCTGCTTGTGCTTCCTCTGCTTGCTCTTCCTTTGCTTACGCTTCCTCTGCTTGCGCTCCTGTGCTTGTGCTTTCTCTGCTTGTGCTTCCTCTGCTTGCGCTTCCTTTGCTTGCGCTTCCTCTGCTTGCGCTTTCTCTGCTTGTGCTTCCTCTGCTTATGCTTCCTCTGCTTGTGCTTCCTCTGCTTGCGCTTCCTCTGCTTGTGCTTCCTCTACTTGCGCTTCCTTTGCTTGCGCTTCCTCTGTTTGCGCTTCCTCTGCTTGCGCTTCCTCTGCTTGCGCTTCCTCTGCTTGCGCTTCCTCTGCTTGGGCTCCTCTGCTTGTGCTTCCTCTGCTTATGCTTCCTCTGCTTGCGCTTCCTCTGCTTGTGCTTCCTCTGCTTGTGCTTCCTCTACTTGCGCATCCTCTGCTTGTGCTTCCTCTACTTGCGCTTCCTCTGCTTGCGCTTCCTCTTCTTGTGCTTCCTCTGCTTGCGCTTCCTCTGCTTGTGCTTCCTCTGCTTGTGCTTCCTCTGCTTGCGCTTCCTCTGCTTGCGCTTCCTCTGATTGTGCTTCCTCTGAGAGCGCTTCCTCTTCTTGTGCTTCCTCTGCTTGCGCTTCTTCTGCTTGTGCTTTCATTGCTTGTGCTTCCTCTGCTTGCGCTTCCTCTTCTTGTGCTTCTTCTGCTTGTGCTCCCTCTACTTGCGCTTCCTCTGCTTGGGCTCTTGTGCTTGTGCTTCCACTGCTTGTGCTTCCTCTGCTTGCGCTTCCTGTGCTTGTGCTTCCTCTGCTTCTGCTTCCTCTGCTTGCACTTCCTCTGCTTGCGCTTCCTCTGCTTGCGCTCCTCTGCTTGTGCTTCCTCTACTTGTGCTTCCTCTCTTTGCGCTTCCTCTAGTTGTTCTTCTGCTGCTTGTGCTTCCTCTGCTTGTGCTTTCTCTGCTTGTGCTTCTTCTGCTTGCGCTTCCTCTGCTTGCGCTTCCTCTGCTTGCACTTCCTCTGCTTGTGCTTCCTCTGCTTGTGCTTCCTCTGCTTGCGCTTCCTCTGCTTGTGCTTCCTCTGCTTGTGCTTCCTCTGCTTGCGCTTCTTCTGCTTGCGCTTCCTCTGCTTGCGCTTCCTCTGCTTGCGCTTCCTCTGCTTGTTCTTCCTCTGCTTGCGCTTCCTCTGCTAGCACTTCCTCTGCTTGTCCTCCTCTGCTTGCGCTTCCTCTGCTTGCGCTTCCTATGCTTGCGCTTCCTCTTCTTGTGCTTCCTCTGCTTACGCTTCCTCTGCTTGTGCTTCCTCCGCTTGCTCTTCCTTTGCTTACGCTTCCTCTGCTTGCGCTCCTCTGCTTGTGCTTTCTCTGCTTGTGCTTTCTCTGCTTGCGCTTCCTCTGCTTGTGCTTCCTCTGCTTGTGCTCCTCTGCTTGCGCTTCCTCTGCTTGCGCTTCCTATGCTTGCGCTTCCTCTTCTTGTGCTTCCTCTGCTTACGCTTCCTCTGCTTGTGCTTCCTCTGCTTGCTCTTCCTTTGCGTACGCTTCCTCTGCTTGCGCTCCTGTTCTTGTGCTTTCTCTGCTTGTGCTTCCTCTGCTTGCGCTTCCTCTGCTTGTGCTTCCTCTGCTTGCGCTTCCTCTGCTTGTGCTTCCTTTGCTTGCGCTTCCTCTGCTTGCGCTCCTCTGCTTGTGCTTCCTCTGCTTGCGCTTCCTCTGCTTGCGCTCCTCTGCTTGTGCTTCCTCTGCTTACGCTTCCTCTACTTGTGCTTCTCTGCTTGCGCTTCCTCTGCTTGTGCTTCCTCTGCTTGCGCTTCCTCTGCTTGCGCTTCCTCTGCTTGCGCTTCCTCTGCTTGCGCTTTCTCTGCTTATGCTTCCTCTGCTTATGCTTCCTCAGCTTGTGCTTCCTCTGCTTGCGCTTCCTCTGCTTGTGCTTCCTCTGCTTACGCTTCCTCTGCTTGTGCTTCCTGTGCTTGCGCTTTCTCTTCTTGGGCTCCTTTGCTTGTGCTTCCTCTGCTTGTGCTTCCTCTGCTTGCGCTTTCTCTGCTCGTGCTTCCTGTGCTTGTGCTTCCTCTGCTTGCGCTTCCTCTGCTTTTGCTTCCTCTGCTTGCGCTTCCTCTGCTTGCGCTTCTTCTGCTTGTGGTTCCTCTGCTTGTGCTTCCTCTGCTTGTGCTTCCTCTACTTGCGCTTCCTCTGCTTGCGCTTCCTCTGCTTGTGCTCTTTGGTTGTGCTTCCTCTACTTGTGCTTCCTCTGCTTGCACTTCCTTTAGTTGTGTTTCCGCTGCTTGTGCTTCCTCTACTTGTGCTTTCTCTGCTTGCTCTTCCTCTGCTTGTGCTTCCTCTGCTTGCGCTTCCTCTGTTTGGGCTCCTCTGCTTGTGCTTCCTCTGCTTATGCTTCCTCTGCTTGCGCTTCCTCTGCTTGTGCTTCCTCTGCTTGTGCTTCCTCTGCTTGCGGTTCCTCTGCTTGCGCTTCCTCTGCTTGCGCTTCCTCTGCTTGCGCTTCCTCTGCTTGTTCTTCCTCTGCTTGCGCTTCCTCTGCTTGCACTTCCTCTGCTTGTGCTCCTCTGCTTGCGCTTCCTCTGCTTGCGCTTCCTATGCTTGTGCTTCCTCTTCTTGCGCTTCCTCTGCTTACGCTTCTTCTGCTTGTGCTTCCTCTGCTTGCTCTTCCTTTGCTTACGCTTCCTCTGCTTGCGCTCCTGTGCTTGTGCTTTCTCTGCTTGTGCTTCCTCTGCTTGCGCTTCCTCTGCTTGTGCTTCCTTTGCTTGCGCTTCCTCTACTTGTGCTTCCTCTGCTTGTGCTTCCTCTGCTTGCTCTTCCTTTGCGTACGCTTCCTCTGCTTGCGCTCCTCTGCTTGTGCTTTCTCTGCTTGTGCTTCCTCTGCTTGCGCTTCCTCTGCTTGTGCTTCCTCTGCTTGCGCTTCCTCTACTTGTGCTTCCTTTGCTTGCGCTTCCTCTGCTTGTGCTTCCTCTGCTTGTGCTTCCTCTGCTTGCGCTTCCTCTGCTTGCGCTCCTCTGCTTGTGCTTCCTCTGCTTGCGCTTCCTCTGCTTGTGCTTCGCTGCTTGCGCTTCCTCTGCTTGTGCTTCCTCTCCTTGCGCTTCCTCTGCTTGCGCTTCCTCTGCTTGCGCTTCCTCTGATTGCGCTTCCTCTGCTTGCGCTTTCTCTGCTAATGCTTCCTCTGCTTATGCTTCCTCAGCTTGTGCTTCCTCTGCTTGCGCTTCCTCTGCTTGTGCTTCCTCTGCTTACGCTTCCTCTGCTTGCGCTTCCTGTGCTTGCGCTTCCTCTGCTTGCGCTTCCTCTGCTTGCGCTTCCTCTGCTTGCGCTTCCTCTGCTTGCGCTTCCTCTGCTTGCGCTTCCTCTGCTTGCGCTTTCTCTCCTTGGGATCCTTTGCTTGTGCTTCCTCTGCTTGTGCTTCCTTTGCTTGCGCTTTCTCTGCTTGTGCTTCCTCTGCTTGTGCTTCCTCTACTTGCGCTTCCTCTGCTTTTGCTTCCTCTGCTTGCGCTTCCTCTGCTTGCGCTTCTTCTGCTTGTGGTTCCTCTACTTGTGCTTCCTGTGCTTGTGCTTCCTCTACTTGCGCTTCCTCTGCTTGCGCTTCCTCTGCTTGTGCTCTTTGGTTGTGCTTCCTCTGCTTGTGCTTCCTCTTCTTGTGCTTCCTCTGCTTGCGATTCCTCTGCTTGTGCTTCCTCTGCTTGCGCTTCCTCTACTTGGGCTCCTCTGCTTCTGCTTCCTCTGCTTGTGCTTCCTCTGGTTGTGCTTCCTCTGCTTGCGCTTCCTCTGCTTACGCTTCCTCTGCTTGCGCTTCCTCTGCTTGCGCTTCCTCTGCTTGCGCTACCTCTGCTTGTGCTTCCTCTGCTTGTGCTTCCTCTGCTTGATCTTCCTCTGCTTGCGCTTCCTCTGCTTACGCTTCCTCTGCTTGGGCTCCTCTGCTTGTGCTTCCTCTGCTTGTGCTTCCTCTGCTTGCGCTTCCTCTACTTGTGCTTCCTCTGCTTCTGCTTCCTCTGCTTGCGCTTCCTCTGCTTGCGCTTCCTCTGCTTGCGCTTCCTCTGCTTGCGCTTCCTCTGCTTGTTCTTCCTCTGCTTGCGCTTCCTCTGCTTGCACTTCATCTGCTTGTGCTCCTCTTCTTGCGCTTCCTCTGCTTGCGCTTCCTATGCTTGCGCTTCCTCTTCTTTCGCTTCCTCTGCTTACGCTTCCTCTGCTTGTGCTTCCTCTGCTTGCTCTTCCTTTGCTTACACTTCCTCTGCTTGCGCTCCTCTGCTTGTGCTTCCTCTGCTTGTGCTTCCTCTGCTTGCGCTTCCTCTGCTTGTGCTTCCTCTGCTTGTGCTTCCTTTGCTTGCGCTTCCTCTGCTTGCGCTCCTCTGCTTGTGCTTCCTCTGCTTGCGCTTCCTCTGCTTGCGCCTCCTCTGCTTGTGCTTCCTCTGCTTGCGCCTTCCTCTGGTTGTGCTTCCTCTGCTTGCGCTTCCTCTGCTTGCGCTTCCTCTGCTTGCGCTTCCTCTGCTTGCGCTTCCTCTGCTTGCGCTTTCTCTGCTTATGCCTCCTCTGCTTATGCTTCCTCAGCTTGTGCTTCCTCTGCTTGCGCTTCCTCTGCTTGTGCTTCCTCTGCTTACGCTTCCTCTGCTTGCGCTTCCTTTACTTGCGCTTCCTCTGCTTGCGCTTCCTCTGCTTGCGCTTCCTCTGCTTGCGCTTCCTCTACTTGCGCTTCCTCTGCTTGCGCTTCCTCTGCTTGCGCTTTCTCTGCTTGGGCTCCTTTGCTTGTGCTTCCTCTGCTTGTGCTTCCTCTGCTTGCGCTTCCTCTGCTTGTGCTTCCTCTGCTTGTGCTTCCTCTGCTTCCGCTTCCTCTGCTTGTGCTTCCTCTGCTTGCGCTTCCTCTGCTTGCGCTTCTTCTGCTTCTCGTTCCTCTGCTTGTGCTTCCTCTGCTTGTGCTTCCTCTACTTGCGCTTCCTCTTCTTGCGCTTCCTCTGCTTGTGCTCTTTGGTTGTGCTTCCTCTGCATGTGCTTCCTCTGCTTGCGCTTCCTCTGCTTGTGCTTCCTCTGCTTGCGCTTCCTCTGCTTATGCTTCCTCTACTTGCGCTTCCTCTACTTGCGCTCCTCTGCTTCTGCTTCCTCTGCTTGTGCTTCCTCTGCTTGTGCTTCCTCTGCTTGCTCTTCCTCTGCTTTCGCTTCTCTACTTGCGCTTCCTCTGCTTGTGCTTCCTCTGCTTGCGTTTCCTCTGCTTGTGCTTCCTCTCTTGGCGCTTCCTCTGCTTGTGCTTCCTCTGCTTGCGCTTCCACTACTTACGCTTCCTCTGCTTGTGCATCCTCTGCTTGCTCTTCCTTTGCTTAGGCTTCCTTTGCCTGCGCTCCTCTGCTTGTGCTGCCTCTGCTTGTGCTTCCTCTGCTTGTGCTTCCTTTGCTTGTGCTTCCTCTACTTGCGCTACCTTTGCTAGTGCTTCCTCTGCTTGTGCTTCCTCTGCTTGCGCTCCTCTGCTTGTGCTTCCTCTTCTTGCGATTCCTCTGCTTGCACTTCCTCTGCTTGCGCTTCCTCTATTTGCGCTTCCTCTGCTTGCGCTTCCTCTACTTGCGCTCCTCTGCTTGTGCTTCCTCTGCTTGCGCTTCCTCTGCTTGTGCTTCCTTTGCTTGCGCTTCCTCTGCTTGTGCTTCCTCTTCTTGCGCTTCCTCTGCTTGCGCTTCCTCTGCTTGCGCTTTTTCTGCTTGTGCTTCCTATGCTTATGCTTCCTCTGCTTGTGCTTCCTCTGCTTGCGCTTCCTCTACTTGTGCTTCCTCTGCTTACGCTTCCTCTGCTTGCGCTTCCTCTGCTTACGCTTCCTCTGCTTGCGCTTCCTCTGCTTGCGCTTCCTCTGCTTGCGCTTCCTCTGCTTGCGCTTCCTCTGCTTGCGCTTCCTCTATTGGGCTCCTTTGCTTGTGCTTCCTTTGCTTGTGCTTCCTCTGCTTGCGCTTCCTCTGCTTGTGCTTCCTCTGCTTGTGCTTCCTCTGCTTGCGCTTCCTCTGCTTGTGCTTCCTCTGCTTACGCTTCCTCTACTTGCGCTTCCTTTGCTTGTGCTTCCTCTGCTTGTGCTTCCTCTACTTACGCTTCCTCTGCTTGCGCTTCCTCTACTTGCGCTCCTCTCCTTGTGCTTCCTCTGCTTGTGCTTCCTCTGCTTGCGCTTCCTCTTCTTGTGCTTCCTCTGCTCCCGCTTCCTCTGCTTGCGCTCCTCTGCTTCTGCTTCCTCTGCTTGTGCTTCCTGCATGTGCTTCCTCCGCTTGCGCTTCCTCTGCTTACGCTTCCTCTGCTTGCGCTTCCTCTGCTTGCGCTTCCTCTGCTTGCGCTTCCTCTTCTTGCGCTTCCTCTGCTTACGCTTCCTCTGCTTGTGCTTCCTCTGCTTGCTCTTCCTTTGCTTACGCTTCCTCTGCTTGCGCTCCTCTACTTGCGCTTCCTCTGCTTGTGCTTCCTCTGCTTGCGCTTCCTCTGCTTGTGCTTCTTCTCCTTGCGCTTCCTCTGCTTGTGCTTCCTCTGCTTGTGCTTCCTCTGCTTGCGCTTCCTCTGCTTGCGCTTCCTCGGCTTGCGCTTCCTCTTCTTGCTCTTCCTCTGCTTACGCTTCCTCTGCTTGTGCTTCCTCTGCTTGCTCTTCCTTTGCTTACGCTTCCTCTGCTTGCGCTCCTCTGCTTGCGCTTTCTCTGCTTGTGCTTCCTCTGCTTGCGCTTCCTCTGCTTGTGCTTCCTCTCCTTGCACTTCCTCTGCTTGTGCTTCCTCTGCTTGTGCTTCCTCTGCTTGCGCTCCTCTGCTTGTGCTTCCTCTGCTTGTGCTTCCTGCTTGTGCTTCCTCTGCTTGCGCTTCCTCTGCTTGTGCTTCCTCTACTTGCGCTTCCACTGCTTGCGCTTCCTCTGCTTGCGCTTCCTCTTCTTGCGCTTCCACTGCTTACGCTTCTTCTGCTTGTGCTTCCTCTGCTTGCTCTTCCTTTGCTTACGCTTCCTCTGCCTGCGCTCCTCTGCTTGTGCTTCCTCTGCTTGTGCTTCCTCTGCTTGCGCTTCCTCTGCTTGTGCTTCCTCTACTTGCGCTTCCTCTGCTTGTGCTTTCTCTGCTTGGGCTTCCTCTGCTTGCGCTTCTCTGCTTCTGCTTCCTCTACTTGTGCTTCCTGCTTGTGCTTCTTCTGCTTGCGCTTCCTCTGCTTACGCTTTCTCTGCTTGCGCTTCCTCTGCTTGCGCTTCCTCTACTTGCGCTTCCTCTTCTTGCGCTTCCTCTGCTTACGCTTCCTCTACTTGTGCTTCCTCTGCTTGCTCTTCCTTTGCTTACGCTTCCTCTGCTTGCGCTCCTCTGCTTGCGCTTCCTCTGCTTGTGCTTCCTCTGCTTGCGCTTCCTCTGCTTGTGCTTCCTCTCCTTGCGCTTCCTCTGCTTGTGCTTCCTCTGCTTGCGCTTCCTATGCTTGCGCTCCTCTGCTTGTGCTTCCTCTGCCTGTGCTTCCTGCTTGTGCTTCCTCTGCTTGCGCTTCCTCTACTTGTGCTTCCTCTACTTGCGCTTCCACTGCTTGCGCTTCCTCTACTTGCGCTTCCTCTGCTTGTGCTTTCTCTGCTTGGGCTTCCTCTGCTTGCGCTTCTCTGCTTCTGCTTCCTCTACTTGTGCTTCCTGCTTGTGCTTCCTCTGCTTGCGCTTCCTCTGCTTACGCTTTCTCTGCTTGCGCTTCCTCTGCTTGCGCTTCCTTTGCTTGCGCTTCCTCTTCTTGCGCTTCCTCTGCTTACGCTTCCTCTGCTTGTGCTTCCTCTGCTTGCTCTTCCTTTGCTTACGCTTCCTCTGCTTGCGCTCCTCTGCTTGCGCTTCCTCTGCTTGTGCTTCCTCTGCTTGCGCTTCCTCTGCTTGTGCTTCCTCTCCTTGCGCTTCCTCTGCTTGTGCTTCCTCTGCTTGCGCTTCCTATGCTTGCGCTCCTCTGCTTGTGCTTCCTCTGCCTATGCCTTCAGCTTGTGCTTCCTCTGCTTGCGCTTCCTCTACTTGCGCCTCCACTGCTTACGCTTCCTCTGCTTGTGCTTCCTCTGCTTGCTCTTCCTTTGCTTACGCTTCCTCTGCCTGGGCTCCTCTGCTTGTGCTTCCTCTACTTGTGCTTCCTCTGCTTGCGCTTGCTCTGCTTGTGCTTCCTCTACTTGCGCTTCCTCTGCTTGTGCTTCCTCTGCTTGGGCTTCCTCTGCTTGTGCTCCTTTGCTTGTGCTTCCTCTTCTTGGGATTCCTATGCTTGCGCTTCCTCTGCTTGCGCTTCCTCTATTTGCGCTTCCTCTGCTTGCGCTTCCTCTACTTGCGCTCCTCTGCTTCTTCTTCCTCTGCTTGCGCTTCCTCTGCTTGTGCTTCGTCTGCTTGCGCCTCCTCTGCTTGTGCTTCCTCTACTTGCGCTTCCTGTGCTTGCGCTTCCTCTGCTTGCGCTTTCTCTGCTTGTGCTTCCTCTTCTTATGCTTCCTCTGCTTATGCTTCCTCTGCTTGCGCTTCCTCTACTTGTGCTTCCTCTGCTTACGCTTCCTCTGCTTGCGCTTCCTCTGCTTGCGCTTCCTCTGCTTGCGCTTCCTCTGCTTGCGCTTCCTCTGCTTGTGCTTCCTCTGCTTGCGCTTCCTCTGCTTGCGCTTCCTCTGCTTGGGCTCCTCTGCTTGTGCTTCCTCTGCTTGTGCTTCCTCTGCTTGTGCTTCCTCTGCTTGTGCTTCCTCTGCTTGCACTTCCTCTGCTTGTGCTTCCTCTGCTTGCGCTTCCTCTGCTTGCGCTTCCTCTGCTTGTGCTTCCTCTACTTGTGCTTCCTCTGCTTGTGCTTCCTCTACTTGCGCTTCCTCTACTTGCGCTCCTCTGCTTGTGCTTCCTCTGCTTGTGCTTCCTCTGCTTGCGCTTCCTCTTCTTGTGCTTCCTCTGCTTGCGCTTCCTCTACTTGTGCTTCCTCTGCTTGCGCTTCCTCTGGTTGCGCTCCTCTGCTTCTGCTTCTTCGGCTTGTGCTTCCTTCTTGTGCTTCCTCTGCTTGGGCTTCCTCTGCTTACGCTCCTCTGCTTGTGCTGCCTCATCTTGTGCTTCCTCTGCTTGCGCTTCCTCTGCTTGCGCTCCTCTGCTTGTGCTTCTTCTGCTTGTGCTTCCTGCTTGTGCTTCCTCTGCTTGTGCTTCCTCTGCTTGTGCTTCCTCTATTTGCACTTCCTCTGCTTGCGCTTCCTCTGCTTGCGCTTCCTCTGCTTGTGCTTCCACTGCTTGCTCTTCCTTTGCTTACGCTTCCTCTGCCTACGCTCCTCTGCTTGTGCTTCCTCTAGTTGGGCTTCCTCTGCTTGGGCTTCCTCTGCTTGCGCTTCCTCTCCTTGCGCTTCCTCTGCTTGCGCTTCCTCTGCTTGCGCTCCTCTGCTTGTGCTTCTTCTGCTTGTGCTTCCTGCTTTTGCTTCCTCTGCTTGCTCTTCCTTTGCTTACGCTTCCTCTGCCTGCGCTTCCTCTGCTTGTGCTTCCTCTACTTGCGCTTCCTCTGCTTGCGCTTCCTCTGCTTGTGCTTCCTCTACTTGCGCTCCTCTGCTGGTGCTTCCTCTGCTTGCGATTCCTCTGCTTGCGCTTCCTCTGCTTGCGCTTCCTCTACTTGTGCTTCCTCTGCTTGTGCTTCATCTGCTTGCGCTTCCTCTGCTTGCGCTTCCTCTGCTTGCACTTCATCTGCTTGTGCTTCCTCTGCTTGCGCTTCCTCTGATTGTGCTTCCTCTATTTGCGCTTCCTCTGCTTGCGCTTCCTCTATTTGCGCTTCCTTTTCTTGCGCTTCCATTGCTTACGATTCCTCTGCTTGTGCTTCCTCTGCTTGCTCTTCCTTTGCTTACGCTTCCTCTGCCTGCGCTCCTCTGCTTGTGCTTCCTCTGCTTGTGCTTCCTCTGCTTGCGCTTCCTCTGCTTGTGCTTCCTCTGCTTGCGCTTCCTCTGCCTGCGCTTCCTCTGCTTGCGCTTCCTCTGCTTGCGCTTCCTCTGCTTGCGCTTCCTCTGCTTGCGCTTCCTCTGCTTGGGCTCCTCTGCTTGTACTTCCTCTGCTTGTGCTTCCTCTGCTTGCGCTTCCTCTACTTGTGCTTCTTCTGCTTGTGCTTCCTCTCCTTGCGCTTCCCCTGCTTGTGCTTCCTCTGCTTGCGCTTCCTCTGCTTGCGCTTCCGCTGCTTGTGCTTCCTCAGCTTGTGCTTCCTCTGCTTGTGCTTCCTCTGCTTGCGTTTCCTCTGCTTAAGCTTCCTCTGCTTGTGCTTCCTCTGCTTGCGCTCCTCTGCTTGTGCTTCCTCTGCTTGTGCTTCCTCTGCTTGCGCTCCCTCTGCTTGTGCTTCCTCTGCTTTCGCTTCTTCTGCTTGTGCTTCCTCTGCTTGCGCTTCCTCTGCTTGCGCTCCTCTGCTTGTGCTTCCTCCGCTTGTGCTTCCTACTTGTGCTTCCTCTGCTTGCGCTTCCTCTGCTTGTGCTTCCTCTACTTGCGCTTCCTCTGCTTGCGCTTCCTCTGCTTGCGCTTCCTCTTCTTGCGCTTCCTCTGCTTACGCTACCTCTGCTTGTGCTTCCTCTGCTTGCTCTTCCTTTGCTTACGCTTCCTCTGCTTGCGCTCCTCTGCTTGTGCGTTCTCTGCTTGTGCTTCCTCTGCTTGCGCTTCCTCCGCTTGTGCATCCTCTACTTGCGCTTCCTCTGCTTGTGCTTCCTCTACTTGCGCTTCCTCTGCTTGCGCTCCTCTGCTTGTGCTTCCTCTGCTTGTGCTTCCTGCTTTTGCTTCCTCTACTTGCGCTTCCTATGCTTGTGCTTCCTCTACTTGCGCTTCCTCTGCTTGCGCTTCCTGTGCTTGCGCTTCCTCTTCTTGCGCTTCCTGTGCTTACGCTTCCTCTGCTTGTGCTTCCTCTGCTTGCTCTTCCTTTGCTTACGCTTCCTCTGCCTGCGCTTCTCTGCTTGTGCTTCCTCTGCTTGTGCTTCCTTTGCTTGCGCTTCCTCTGCTTGTGCTTCCTCTACTTGCGCTTCCTCTGCTTGTGCTTCCTCTGCTTGCGATTCCTCTGCTTGCGCTCCTCTGCTTGTTCTTCCTCTGCTTGTGCTTCCTCTGCTTGTGCTTCCTCTGCTTGTGCTTCCTTTGCTTACGCTTCCTCAGCTTGCGCTCCTCTGCTTGTGCTTCCTCTGCTTGTGCTTCCTCTGCTTGCGCTTCCTCTACTTGTGCATCCTCTACTTGCGCTTCCTCTGCTTGTGCTTCCTCTGCTTGCGCTTCCTCTGCTTGCGCTCATCTGCTTGGGCTTCCTCTGCTTGTGCTTCCTGCTTGTGCTTCCTCTACTTGCGCTTCCTCTGCTTGTGCTTTCTCTACTTGCACTTCCTCTGCTTGCGCTTCCTGTGCTTGCGCTTCCTCTTCTTGCGCTTCCTGTGCTTACGCTTCCTCTGCTTGTGCTTCCTCTGCTTGTGCTTCCTCTGCTTGCGCTTCCTCTGCTTGCGCTTCCTCTGCTTGCACTTCATCTGCTTGTGCTTCCTCTGCTTGCGCTTCCTCTGCTTGTGCTTCCTCTGCTTGCGCTTCCTCTGCCTGCGCTTCCTCTGCTTGCGCTTCCTCTGCTTGCGCTTCCTCTGCTTGCGCTTCCTCTGCTTGCGCTTCCTCTGCTTGGGCTCCTCTGCTTGTGCTTCCTCTGCTTGTGCATCCTCTGCTTGCGCTTCCTCTGCTTGTGCTTCTTCTGCTTGTGCTTCCTCTCCTTGCGCTTCCCCTGCTTGTGCTTCCTCTGCTTGTGCTTCCTCTGCTTGCGCTTCCGCTGCTTGTGCTTCCTCTGCTTGTGCTTCCTCTGCTTGCGTTTCCTCTGCTTAAGCTTCCTCTGCTTGCGCTTCTTCTGCTTGCGCTCCTCTGCTTGTGCTTCCTCTGCTTGTGCTTCCTCTGCTTGCGCTTCCTCTGCTTGTGCTTCCTTTGCTTTCGCTTCTTCTGCTTGTGCTTCCTCTGCTTGCGCTTCCTCTGCTTGCGCTCCTCTGCTTGTGCTTCCTCTGCTTGTGCTTCCTGCTTGTGCTTCCTCTGCTTGCGCTTCCTCTGCTTGTGCTTCCTCTACTTGCGCTTCCTCTGCTTGCGCTTCCTCTGCTTGCGCTTCCTCTTCTTGCGCTTCCTCTGCTTACGCTACCTCTGCTTGTGCTTCCTCTGCTTGCTCTTCCTTTGCTTACGCTTCCTCTGCTTGCGCTCCTCTGCTTGTGCGTTCTCTGCTTGTGCTTCCTCTGCTTGCGCTTCCTCCGCTTGTGCATCCTCTACTTGCGCTTCCTCTGCTTGTGCTTCCTCTGCTTGCGATTCCTCTGCTTGCGCTCCTCTGCTTGTGCTTCCTCTGCTTGTGCTTCCTGCTTTTGCTTCCTCTACTTGCGCTTCCTCTGCTTGTGCTTCCTCTACTTGCGCTTCCTCTGCTTGCGCTTCCTGTGCTTGCGCTTCCTCTTCTTGCGCTTCCTGTGCTTACGCTTCCTCTGCTTGTGCTTCCTCTGCTTGCTCTTCCTTTGCTTACGCTTCCTCTGCCTGCGCTTCTCTGCTTGTGCTTCCTCTGCTTGTGCTTTCTTTGCTTGCGCTTCCACTGCTTGTGCTTCCTCTACTTGCGCTTCCTCTGCTTGTGCTTCCTCTGCTTGCGATTCCTCTGCTTGCGCTCCTCTGCTTGTTCTTCCTCTGCTTGTGCTTCCTCTGCTTGTGCTTCCTCTGCTTGTGCTTCCTTTGCTTACGCTTCCTCAGCTTGCGCTCCTCTGCTTGTATTTCCTCTGCTTGTGCTTCCTCTGCTTGCGCTTCCTCTACTTGTGCATCCTCTACTTGCGCTTCCTCTGCTTGTGCTTCCTCTGCTTGCGCTTCCTCTGCTTGCGCTCCTCTGCTTGTGCTTCCTCTGCTTGTGCTTCCTGCTTGTGCTTCCTCTACTTGCGCTTCCTCTGCTTGTGCTTCCTCTACTTGCACTTCCTCTGCTTGCGCTTCCTGTGCTTGCGCTTCCTCTTCTTGCGCTTCCTGTGCTTACGCTTCCTCTGCTTGTGCTTCCTCGGCTTGCTCATCCTTTGCTTACGCTTCCTCTGCCTGCGCTCCTCTGCTTGTGCTTCCTCTGCTTGTGCTTCCTTTGCTTGCGTTTCCTCTGCTTGTGCTTCCTCTACTTGCGCTTCCTTTGCTTGTGCTTCCTCTGCTTGCGCTTCCTCTGCTTGCGCTCCTCTGCTTGTGCTTCCTCTGCTTGCGATTCCTCTGCTTGCGCTTCCTCTGCTTGCGCTTCCTCTGCTTGCGCTTCCTCTGCTTCCGCTTCCTCTGCTTGCGCTTCCCCTGCTTGCGCTTCCTCTGCTTGCGCTTCCTCTGCTTGCGCTTCCTTTGCTTGCGCTTCCTCTGCTTGCGCTTCCTATGCTTGCGCTTCCTCTGCTTGGGCTCCTTTGCTTGTGCTTCCTCTGCTTGTGCTTCCTTTGCTTGTGCTTCCTCTGCTTCTGCTTCCTCTGCTTGTGCTTCCTCTGCTTGTGGTTCCTCTGCTTGTGCTTTCTCTGCTTGTGCTTCCTCTGCTTGTGCTTCCTCTGCTTGTGCTACCTCTGCTTGTGCTTCCTCTGCTTGCGCTTCCTTTGCTTGCGCTCCTGTGCTCGTGCTTCCTCTGCTTGTGCTTCCTCTGCTTGTGTTTCCTCTGCTTGTGCTTCCTCTGCTTGTGCTTCCTCTGCTTGTGCTTCTTTGCTTGCGCTTCCTTTGCTTGCGCTCCTGTGCTCCTGCTTCCTCTGCTTGTGCTTCCTGCTTGTGCTTCCTCTGCTTGCGCTTCCTCTGCGCTTCCTCTGCTTGCGCTTCCTCTGCTTGCACTTCCTTTGCTTGCGCTTCCTCTTCTTGCGCTTCCTCAGCTTATGCTTCCTCTGATTGTGCTTCCTCATCTTGCTCTTCCTTTGCTTACGCTTCCTCTGCTTGCGCTCCTCTGCTTGTGCTTCCTCTGCTTGTGCTTCCTTTCCTTGCAATTCCTCTGCTTGTGCTTCCTCTGCTTGCGCTTCCTCTGCTTGCGCTCCTCTACTTGTGCTTCCTCTGCTTGTGCTTCCTGCTTGTGCTTCCTCTGCTTGTGCTTCCTCTACTTGCGCTCCTCTGCTTGTGCTTCCTTTGCATGCGCTTCCTCTGCTTGCGCTTCCTATGCTTGCGCTTCCTCTGCTTGGGCTCCTTTGCTTGTGCTTCCTCTGCTTGTGCTTCCTTTGCTTGTGCTTCCTCTGCTTGTGCTTCCTCTGCTTGTGCTTCCTCTGCTTGTGCTTCCTCTGCTTGTGCTTCCTCTGCTTGCGCTTCCTCTGCTTGTGCTTCCTCTGCTTGCGTTTCCTTTGCTTGCGCTCCTCTGCTCCTGCTTCCTGTGCTTGTGCTTCCTGCTTGTGCTTCCTCTGCTTGCGCTTCCTCTGCTTACGCTTCCTCTGCTTGCGCTTCCTCTGCTTGTGCTTCCTCTGCTTGCGCTTCCTCTGCTTGCGCTCCTCTGCTTGTGCTTTCTTTGCTTGCGATTCCTCTGCTTGCGCTTCCTCTGCTTGCGCTTCCTCTGCTTGCGCTTCCTCTGCTTCCGCTTCCTCTGCTTGTGCTTCCTCTGCTTGCGCTTCCTCTGCTTGCGCTTCCTCTGCTTGCGCTTCCTTTGCTTGCGCTTCCTCTGCTTGTGCTTCCTATGCTTGCGCTTCCTCTGCTTGGGCTCCTTTGCTTGTGCTTCCTCTGCTTGTGCTTCCTTTGCTTGTGCTTCCTCTGCTTGTGCTTCCTCTGCTTGTGCTTCCTCTGCTTGTGCTTCCTCTGCTTGCGCTTCCTCTGCGCTTCCTATGCTTGCGCTTCCTCTGCTTGCACTTCCTCTGCTTGCGCTTCCTCTTCTTGCGCTTCGTCAGCTTATGCTTCCTCTGATTGTGCTTCCTCATCTTGCTCTTCCTTTGCTTACGCTTCCTCTGCTTGCGCTCCTCTGCTTGTGCTTCCTCTGCTTGTGCTTCCTTTCCTTGCAATTCCTCTGCTTGTGCTTCCTCTGCTTGCGCTTCCTCTGCTTACGCTCCTCTACTTGTGCTTCCTCTGCTTGTGCTTCCTCCTTGTGCTTCCTCTGCTTGTGCTTCCTCTGCTTGTGCTTCCTCTACTTGCGCTTCCTCTGCTTGCGCTTCCTTTGCTTGCGCTTCCTCCTCTTGCGCTTTCTCTGCTTACGCTTCCTCTGCTTGTGCTTCCTCTGCTTGCTCTTCCTTTGCTTACGCTTCCTCAGCCTGCGCTCCTCTGCTTGTGCTTCCTCTGCTTGTGCGTCATCTACTTGTGCTTCCTCTGCTTGTGCTTCCTCTACTTGCGCTTCTTCTGCTTGTGCTTCCTCTGCTTGTGCTTCCTCTGCTTGCGCTCCTCTGCTTGTGCTTCCTCTGCTTGCGATTCCTCTGCTTGCGCTTCCTCTGCCTTCGCTTCCTCTACTTGCGCTCCTATGCTTATGCTTCCTCTGCTTGTGCTTCCTCTGCTTGCGCTTCCTCTGCTTGTGCTTCCTCTACTTGCACTTCCTCTGCTTGTGCTTCCTCTGCTTGTGCTTCCTCTACTTGCGCTCCTCTGCTTGTGCTTCCTCTGCTTGTGCTTCCTCTGCTTGTGCTTCCTCTTCTTGTGCTTCCTCTTCTTGCGCTTCCTCTGCTTTCGCTTCCTCTGGTTGTGACTCCTCTGTTTGCGCTTCCTCTACTTGCGCTTCCTCTACTTGCGCTTCCTCTGCTTGGGCATCCTCTGCTTGCGCTTCCTCTGCTTGCCCTTCCTCTGCTTGCGCTTCCTCTTCTTGCGCTCCTCTGCTTGTGCTTCCTCTGCTTGTGCTTCCTCTGCTTGCGCTTTCTCTGCTTGTGCTTCTTCTGCTTCCGCTTCCTCTACTTGTGCTTCCTCTGCTTGCGCTTCCTTTGCTTGTTCTTCCTCTTCTTGTGCTTCCTCTTCTTGCGCTTCCTCTGCTAGTGCTTCCTCTGCTTACACTTCCTCTGCTTGCGCTTCCTCTGCTCGCGCTTCCTCTGCTTGTGCTTCCTCTGCTTGTGCTTCCTCTGCTTGTGCTTCCTCAACTTGTGCTTCCTCTGCTTGCGCTTCCTCTGGTTGTGACTCCTCACCTTCCGCTTCCTCTGCTTGCGCTCCCTCTGCTTGTGCTTCCTCTTCTTGCCCTTCCTCTGCTTGCGCTTCCTCTGCTTGCGCTCCTCTGCTTGTGCTTTCTCTGCTTGTGCTTCCTCTGCTTGCGCTTCCTCTGCTTGTGCTTCCTCTACTTACGCTTCCTCTGCTTGCGCTTCCTCTGCTCACGCTTCCTCTGCTTGTGCTTCCTCTGCTTGTGCTTCCTCTGCTTGTGCTTCCTCAACTTGCGCTTCCTCTGCTTGTGCTTCCTCTGGTTGTGACTCCTCAGCTCCCGCATCCTCTGCTTGCATTTCCTCTGCTTGTGCTTCCTCTTCTTGCGCTTCCTCTGTTTGCGCTTCCTCTGCTTGCGCTCCTCTGCTTGTGCTTCCTCTGCTTGTGCTTCCTTTGCTTGCGTTTCCTCTGCTTGTGCTTCTTCAGCTTCCGCTTCCTTTGCTTGTTCTTCCTCTGCTTGTGCTTCCTCTGCTTGTGCTTCCTGCTTGTGCTTCCTCTACTTGTGCTTCCTCTGCTTGTGCTTCCTCTACTTGCACTTCCTCTGCTTGCGCTTCCTTTGCTTGCGCTTCCTCCTCTTGCGCTTCCTCTGCTTACGCTTCCTCTGCTTGTGCTTCCTCTGCTTGCTCTTCCTTTGCTTACGCTTCCTCAGCCTGCGCTCCTCTGCTTGTGCTTCCTCTGCTTGTGCGTCCTCTACTTGCGCTTCCTCTGCTTGTGCTTCCTCTACTTGCGCTTCTTCTGCTTGTGCTTCCTCTGCTTGTGCTTCCTCTGCTTGCGCTCCTCTGCTTGTGCTTCCTCTGCTTGCGATTCCTCTGCTTGCGCTTCCTCTGCTTTCGCTTCCGCTGCTTGCGCTCCTCTGCTTGTGCTTCCTCTGCTTGTGCTTCCTCTTCTTGCTCTTCCTCTGCTTGTGCTTCCTCTACTTGCACTTCCTCTGCTTGTGCTTCCTCTTCTTGTGCTTCCTCTACTTGCGCTCCTCTGCTTGTGCTTCCTCTACTTGTGCTTCCTCTGCTTGTGCTTCCTCTTCTTGTGCTTCCTCTGCTTGCGCTTCCTCTGCTTTCGCTTCCTCTGGTTGTGACTCCTCTGCTTGTGCTTCCTCTACTTGCGCTTCCTCTACTTGCGCTTCCTCTGCTTGGGCATCCTCTGCTTGCGCTTCCTCTGCTTGCACTTCCTCTGCTTGCACTTCCTCTTCTTGCGCTCCTCTGCTTGTGCTTCCTCTGCTTGTGCTTCCTCTGCTTGCGCTTCCTCTGCTTGTGCTTCTTCTGCTTCCGCTTCCTCTACTTGTGCTTCCTCTGCTTGCGCTTCCTTTGCTTGTTCTTCCTCTTCTTGTGCTTCCTCTTCTTGCGCTTCCTCTGCTAGTGCTTCCTCTGCTTACACTTCCTCTGCTTGTGCTTCCTCTACTTGCACTTCCTCTGCTTGTGCTTCCTCTTCTTGTGCTTCCTCTACTTGCTCTCCTCTGCTTGTGCTTCCTTTGCTTGCGCTTCCTCTGCTTGCGCTTCCTATGCTTGCGCTTCCTCTGCTTGGGCTCCTTTGCTTGTGCTTCCTCTGCTTGTGCTTCCTTTGCTTGTGCTTCCTCTGCTTGTGCTTCCTCTGCTTGTGCTTCCTCTGCTTGTGCTTCCTCTGCTTGTGCTTCCTCTGCTTGCGCATCCTCTGCTTGTGCTTCCTCTGCTTGCGCTTCCTTTGCTTGCGCTCCTCTGCTCCTGGGTCCTCTGCTTGTGCTTCGTGCTTGTGCTTCCTCTGCTTGCGCTTCCTCTGCTTACGCTTCCTCTGCTTGTGCTTCCTGCTTGTGCTTCCTCTGCTTGCGCTTCCTCTGCTTACGCTTCCTCTGCTTGCGCTTCCTCTGCTTGCACTTCCTCTGCTTGCGCTTCCTCTTCTTGCGCTTCCTCAGCTTATGCTTCCTCTGATTGTGCTTCCTCATCTTGCTCTTCCTTTGCTTACGCTTCCTCTGCTTGCGCTCCTCTGCTTGTGCTTCCTCTGCTTGTGCTTCCTTTCCTTGCAATTCCTCTGTTTTTGCTTCCAATGCTTTCGCTTCCTCTGCTTGCGCTCCTCTACTTGTGCTTCCTCTGCTTGTCCTTCCTGCTTGTGCTTTCTCTACTTGTGCTTCCTCTGCTTGTGCTTCCTCTACTTGCGCTTCCTCTGCTTGCGCTTCCTGTGCTTGCGCTTCCTCCTCTTGCGCTTCCTCTGCTTACGCTTCCTCTGCTTGTGCTTCCTCTGCTTGCTCTTCCTTTGCTAACGCTTCCTCAGCCTGCGCTCCTCTGCTTGTGCTTCCTCTGCTTGTGCGTCCTCTACTTGCGCTTCCTCTGCTTGTGCTTCCTCTACTTGCGCTTCTTCTACTTGTGCTTCCTCTGCTTGTGCTTCCTCTGCTTGCGCTCTTCTGCTTGTGCTTCCTCTGCTTGCGATTCCTCTGCTTTCGCTTCCTCTGCTTTCGCTTCCTCTACTTGCGTTCTCTGCTTGTGCTTCCTCTGCTTGTGCTTCCTCTGCTTGCTCTTCCTTTGCTTACGCTTCCTCTGCCTGCGCTCCTCTGCTTATGCTTCCTCTGCTTGTGCTTCCTCTACTTGCACTTCCTCTGCTTGTGCTTCCTCTGCTTGTGCTTCCTCTACTTGCGCTCCTCTGCTTGTGCTTCCTCTGCTTGTGCTTCCTCTGCTTGTGCTTCCTCTTCTTGTGCTTCCTCTGCTTGCGCTTCCTCTGCTTTCGCTTCCTCTGGTTGTGACTCCTCTGCTTGCGCTTCCTCTACTTGCGCTTCCTCTACTTGCGCTTCCTTTGCTTGGGCATCCTCTGCTTGCGCTTCCTCTGCTTGCACTTCCTCTGCTTGCGCTTCCTCTTCTTGCGCTCCTCTGCTTGTGCTTCCTCTGCTTGTGCTTCGTCTCCTTGCGCTTCCCCTGCTTGTGCTTCTTCTGCTTCCGCTTCCTCTACTTGTGCTTCCTCTGCTTGCGCTTCCTTTGCTTGTTCTTCCTCTTCTTGTGCTTCCTCTTCTTGCGCTTCCTCTACTAGTGCTTCCTCTGCTTACACTTCCTCTGCTTGCGCTTCCTCTGCTCGCGCTTCCTCTGCTTGTGCTTCCTCTGCTTGTGCTTCCTCTGCTTGTGCTTCCTCAACTTGTGCTTCTTCTGCTTGCGCTTCCTCTGGTTGTGACTCCTCACCTTCCGCTTCCTCTGCTTGCGCTTCCTCTGGTTGTGACTCCTCACCTTCCGCTTCCTCTGCTTGCGCTCCCTCTGCTTGTGCTTCCTCTTCTTGCCCTTCCTCTGCTTGCGCTTCCTCTGCTTGCGCTCCTCTGCTTGTGCTTCCTCTGCTTGTGCTTCCTCTGCTTGCGCTTCCTCTGCTTGTGCTTCCTCTACTTACGCTTCCTCTGCTTGCGCTTCCTCTGCTCACGCTTCCTCTGCTTGTGCTTCCTCTGCTTGTGCTTCCTCTGCTTGTGCTTCCATAACTTGCGCTTCCTCTGCTTGTGCTTCCTCTGGTTGTGACTCCTCAGCTCCCGCTTCCTCTGCTTGTGCTTCCTCTTCTTGCGCTTCCTCTGTTTGCGCTTCCTCTGCTTGCGCTCCTCTGCTTGTGCTTCCTCTGCTTGTGCTTCCTTTGCTTGCGTTTCCTCTGCTTGTGCTTCTTCAGCTTCCGCTTCCTTTGCTTGTTCTTCCTCTGCTTGTGCTTCCTCTGCTTGTGCTTCTTGCTTGTGCTTCCTCTACTTGTGCTTCCTCTGCTTGTGCTTCCTCTACTTGCGCTTCCTCTGCTTGCGCTTCCTTTGCTTGCGCTTCCTCCTCTTGCGCTTCCTCTGCTTACGCTTCCTCTGCTTGTGCTTCCTCTACTTGCTCTTCCTTTGCTTACGCTTCCTCAGCCTGCGCTCCTCTGCTTGTGCTTCCTCTGCTTGTGCGTCCTCTACTTGCGCTTCCTCTGCTTGTGCTTCCTCTACTTGCGCTTCTTCTGCTTGTGCTTCCTCTGCTTGTGCTTCGTCTGCTTGCGCTCCTCTACTTGTGCTTCCTCTGCTTGCGATTCCTCTGCTTGCGCTTCCTCTGCTTTCGCTTCCTCTACTTGCGCTCCTTTGCTTGTGCTTCCTCTGCTTGTGCTTCCTCTTCTTGCTCTTCCTTTGCATACGCTTCCTCTGCCTGCGCTCCTCTGCTTATGCTTCCTCTGCTTGTGCTTCCTCTGCTTGCGCTTCCTCTGCTTGTGCTTCCTCTACTTGCACTTCCTCTGCTTGTGCTTCCTCTTCTTGTGCTTCCTCTACTTGCGCTCCTCTGCTTGTGCTTCCTCTACTTGTGCTTCCTCTGCTTGTGCTTCCTCTTCTTGTGCTTCCTCTGCTTGCGCTTCCTCTGCTTTCGCTTCCTCTAGTTGTGACTCCTCTGCTTGCGCTTCCTCTACTTGCGCTTCCTCTACTTGCGCTTCCTCTGCTTGGGCATCCTCTGCTTGCGCTTCCTCTGCTTGCACTTCCACTGCTTGCGCTTTCTCTTCTTGCGTTCCTCTGCTTGTGCTTCCTCTGCTTGTGCTTCCTCTGCTTGCGCTTCCTTTGCTTGTTCTTCCTCTTCTTGTGCTTCCTCTTCTTGCGCTTCCTCTGCTAGTGCTTCCTCTGCTTACACTTCCTCTGCTTGTGCTTCCTCTACTTGCACTTCCTCTGCTTGTGCTTCCTCTTCTTGTGCTTCCTCTACTTGCGCTCCTCTGCTTGTGCTTCCTTTGCTTGCGCTTCCTCTGCTTTCGCTTCCTCTAGTTGTGACTCCTCTGCTTGCGCTTCCTCTACTTGCGCTTCCTCTACTTGCGCTTCCTCTGCTTGGGCATCCTTTGCTTGCGCTTCCTCTGCTTGCACTTCCTCTGCTTGCGCTTTCTCTTCTTGCGTTCCTCTGCTTGTGCTTCCTCTGCTTGTGCTTCCTCTGCTTGTGCTTCCTCTGCTTGCGCTTCCTCTGCTTGTGCTTCTTCTGCTTCCGCTTCCTCTACTTGTGCTTCCTCTGCTTGCGCTTCCTTTGCTTGTTCTTCCTCTTCTTGTGCTTCCTCTTCTTGTGCTTCCTCTGCTAGTGCTTCCTCTGCTTACACTTCCTCTGCTTGTGCTTCCTCTACTTGCACTTCTTCTGCTTGTGCTTCCTCTTCTTGTGCTTCCTCTACTTGCGCTCCTCTGCTTGTGCTTCCTTTGCTTGCGCTTCCTCTGCTTGCGCTTCCTATGCTTGCGCTTCCTCTGCTTGGGCTCCTTTGCTTGTGCTTCCTCTGCTTGTGCTTCCTTTGCTTGTGCTTCCTCTGCTTGTGCTTCCTCTGCTTGTGCTTCCTCTGCTTGTGCTTCCTCTGCTTGTGCTTCCTCTGCTTGCACATCCTCTGCTTGTGCTTCCTCTGCTTGCGCTTCCTTTGCTTGCGCTCCTCTGCTCATGCTTCCTCTGCTTGTGCTTCCTGCTTGTGCTTCCTCTGCTTGCGCTTCCTCTGCTTACGCTTCCTCTGCTTGAGCTTCCTCTGCTTGCACTTCCTCTGCTTGCGCTTCCTCTTCTTGCGCTTCCTCAGCTTATGCTTCCTCTGATTGTGCTTCCTCATCTTGCTCTTCCTTTGCTTACGCTTCCTCTGCTTGCGCTCCTCTGCTTGTGCTTCCTCTGCTTGTGCTTCCTTTCCTTGAAATTCCTCTGTTTTTGCTTCCTCTGCTTGCGCTTCCTCTGCTTGCGCTCCTCTACTTGTGCTTCCTCTGCATGTCCTTCCTGCTTGTGCTTCCTCTACTTGTGCTTCCTCTGCTTGTGCTTCCTCTACTTGCGCTTCCTCTGCTTGCGCTTCCTTTGCTTGCGCTTCCTCCTCTTGCGCTTCCTCTGCTTACGCTTCCTCTGCTTGTGCTTCCTCTGCTTGCTCTTCCTTTGCTTACGCTTCCTCAGCCTGCGCTCCTCTGCTTGTGCTTCCTCTGCTTGTGCATCCTCTACTTGCGCTTCCTCTGCTTGTGCTTCCTCTGCTTGCTCTTCCTTTGCTTACGCTTCCTCAGCCTGCGCTCCTCTGCTTGAGCTTCCTCTGCTTGTGCATCCTCTACTTGCGCTTCCTCTGCTTGTGCTTCCTCTACTTGCGCTTCTTCTGCTTGTGCTTCCTCTGCTTGTGCTTCCTCTGCTTGCGCTCTTCTGCTTGTGCTTCCTCTGCTTGCGATTCCTCTGCTTGCGCTTCCTCTGCTTTCGCTTCCTCTACTTGCGCTCCTCTGCTTGTGCTTCCTCTGCTTGTGCTTCCTCTGCTTGCTCTTCCTTTGCTTACGCTTCCTCTGCCTGCGCTCCTCTGCTTATGCTTCCTCTGCTTGTGCTTCCTCTGCTTGCGCTTCGTCTGCTTGTGCTTCCTCTACTTGCACTTCCTCTGCTTGTGCTTCCATTGCTTGTGCTTCCTCTACTTGCGCTCCTCTGCTTGTGCTTCCTCACCTTGTGCTTCCTCTACTTGTGCTTCCTCTTCTTGTGCTTCCTCTGCTTGCGCTTCCTCTGCTCGCGCTTCCTCTGCTTGTGCTTCCTCTGCTTGTGCTTCCTCTGCTTGTGCTTCCTCAACTTGTGCTTCTTCTCCTTGCGCTTCCTCTGGTTGTGACTCCTCACCTTCCGCTTCCTCTGCTTGCGCTTCCTCTGCTTGTGCTTCCTCTTCTTGCCCTTCCTCTGCTTGCGCTTCCTCTGCTTGCGCTCCTCTGCTTGTGCTTCCTCTGCTTGTGCTTCCTCTGCTTGCGCTTCCTCTGCTTGTGCTTCCTCTACTTACGCTTCCTCTGCTTGCGCTTCCTCTGCTCACGCTTCCTCTGCTTGTGCTTCCTCTGCTTGTGCTTCCTCTGGTTGTGACTCCTCAGCTCCTGCTTCCTCTGCTTGCATTTCCTCTGCTTGTGCTTCCTCTTCTTGCGCTTCCTCTGTTTGCGCTTCCTCTGCTTGCGCTCCTCTGCTTGTGCTTCCTCTGCTTGTGCTTCCTTTGCTTGCGTTTCCTTTGCTTGTGCTTCTTCAGCTTCCGCTTCCTTTGCTTGTTCTTCCTCTGCTTGTGCTTCCTCTGCTTGTCCTTCCTGCTTGTGCTTCCTCTACTTGTGCTTCCTCTGCTTGTGCTTCCTCTACTTGCGCTTCCTCTGCTTGCGCTTCCTTTGCTTGCGCTTCCTCCTCTTGCGCTTCCTCTGCTTACGCTTCCTCTGCTTGTGCTTCCTCTGCTTGCTCTTCCTTTGCTTACGCTTCCTCAGCCTGCGCTCCCCTGCTTGTGCTTCCTCTGCTTGTGCGTCCTCTACTTGCGCTTCCTCTGCTTGTGCTTCCTCTACTTGCGCTTCTTCTGCTTGTGCTTCCTCTGCTTGTGCTTCCTCTGCTTGCGCTCCTCTGCTTGTGCTTCCTCTGCTTGCGATTCCTCTGCTTGCGCTTCCTCTGCTTTCGCTTCCTCTACTTGCGCTCCTCTGCTTGTGCTTCCTTTGCTTGTGCTTCCTCTGCTTGCTCTTCCTTTTCATACGCTTCCTCTGCCTGCGCTCCTCTGCTTATGCTTCCTATGCTTGTGCTTCCTCTGCTTGCGCTTCCTCTGCTTGTGCTTCCTCTACTTGCACTTCCTCTGCTTGTGCTTCCTCTTCTTGTGCTTCCTCTACTTGCGCTCCTCTGCTTGTGCTTCCTCTACTTGTGCTTCCTCTGCTTGTGCTTCCTCTTCTTGTGCTTCCTCTGCTTGCGCTTCCTCTGCTTTCGCTTCCTCTGGTTGTGACTCCTCTGCTTGCGCTTCCTCTACTTGCACTTCCTCTACTTGCGCTTCCTCTGCTTGGGCATCCTCTGCTTGCGCTTCCTCTGCTTGCACTTCCTCTGCTTGCGCTTCCTCTTCTTGCGCTCCTCTGCTTGTGCTTCCTCTGCTTGTGCTTCCTCTGCTTGCGCTTCCTCTGCTTGTGCTTCTTCTGCTTCCGCTTCCTCTACTTGTGCTTCCTCTGCTTGCGCTTCCTTTGCTTGTTCTTCATCTTCTTGTGCTTCCTCTTCTTGTGCTTCCTCTGCTAGTGCTTCCTCTGCTTACACTTTCTCTGCTTGCGCTTCCTCTGCTCGCGCTTCCTCTGCTTGTGCTTCCTCTGCTTGTGCTTCCTCTGCTTGTGCTTCCTCAACTTGTGCTTCCTCTGCTTGCGCTTCCTCTGGTTGTTTTTCCTCACCTTCCGCTTCCTCTGCTTGCGCTTCCTCTGCTTGTGCTTCCTCTTCTTGCCCTTCCTCTGCTTGCGCTCCTCTGCTTGTGCTTCCTCTGCTTGTGCTTCCTCTGCTTGCGCTTCCTCTGCTTGTGCTTCCTCTACTTACGCTTCCTCTGCTTGCGCTTCCTCTGCTCACGCTTCCTCTGCTTGTGCTTCCTCTGCTTGTGCTTCCTCTGCTTGTGCTTCCTCAACTTGCGCTTCCTCTGCTTGGGCTTCCTCTGGTTGTGACTCCTCAGCTCCAGCTTCCTCTGCTTGCATTTCCTCTGCTTGTGCTTCCTCTTCTAGCGCTTCCTCTGTTTGCGCTTCCTCTGCTTGCGCTCCTCTGCTTGTGCTTCCTCTGCTTGTGCTTCCTTTGCTTGCGTTTCCTCTGCTTGTGCTTCTTCAGCTTCCGCTTCCTTTGCTTGTTCTTCCTCTGCTTGTGCTTCCTCTGCTTGCGCTTCCTCTGCTTGCGCTTCCTATGCTTGCGCTTCCTCTGCTTGGGCTCCTTTATTTGTGCTTCCTCTGCTTGTGCTTCCTTTGCTTGTGCTTCCTCTGCTTGTGCTTCCTCTGCTTGTGCTTCGTCTGCTTGTGCTTCCTCTGCTTGTGCTTCCTCTGCTTGCGCTTCCTCTGCTTGTGCTTCCTCTGCTTGCGCTTCCTTTGCTTGCGCTCCTCTGCTCCTGCTTCCTCTGCTTGTGCTTCCTGCTTGTGCTTCCTCTGCTTGCGCTTCCTCTTCTTATGCTTCCTCTGCTTGCGCTTCCTCTGCTTGCACTTCCTCTGCTTGCGCTTCCTCTTCTTGCGCTTCCTCAGCTTATGCTTCCTCTGATTGTGCTTCCTCATCTTTCTCTTCCTTTGCTTACGCTTCCTCTGCTTGCGCTCCTCTGCTTGTGCTTCCTCTGCTTGTGCTTCCTTTCCTTGCAATTCCTCTGCTTGTGCTTCCTCTGCTTGCGCTTCCTCTGCTTGCGCTCCTCTACTTGTGCTTCCTTTGCTTGTGCTTCCTCTGCTTGTGCTTCCTCTGCTTGTGCTTCCTCTACTTGCGCTTCCTCTGCTTGCGCTTCCTTTGCTTGCGCTTCCTCCTCTTGCGCTTCCTCTGCTTACGCTTCCTCTGCTTGTGCTTCCTCTGCTTGCTCTTCCTTTGCTTACGCTTCCTCAGCCTGCGCTCCTCTGCTTGTGCTTCCTCTGCTTGTGCGTCCTCTACTTGCGCTTCCTCTGCTTGTGCTTCCTCTACTTGGGCTTCTTCTGGTTGTGCTTCCTCTGCTTGTGCTTCCTCTGCTTGCGATCCTCTGCTTGTGCTTCCTTTGCTTGCGATTCCTCTGCTTGCGCTTCCTCTGCTTTTGCTTCCTCTACTTGCGCTCCTATGCTTGTGCTTCCTCTGCTTGTGCTTCCTCTGCTTGCTCTTCCTTTGCTTACGCTTCCTCTGCCTGCGCTCCTCTGCTTATGCTTCCTCTGCTTGTGCTTCCTCTGCTTGCGCTTCCTCTGCTTGTGCTTCCTCTACTTGCACTTCCTCTGCTTGTGCTTCCTCTTCTTGTGCTTCCTCTACTTGCACTTCTCTGCTTGTGCTTCCTCAGCTTGTGATTCCTCTGCTTGCGCTTCCTCTTCTTGAGCTTCCTTTGCTTGCGCTCCTCTGCTTGTGCTTCCTCTGCTTGCGCTTCCTCTACTTGTGCTTCCTCTGCTTGCGCTTCCTCTGCTTGCGCTTCCTCTGCTTGCGCTTCCTCTGCTTGCGCTTCCTCTGCTTGTGCTCCTCTGCTTGCGCTTCCTCTGCTTGTGCTTCTTCTACTTGCGCTTCCTCTGCTTGCGCTTCCTCTCATTGCGCTTCCTCTACTTGCGCTTCCTCTGCTTGCGCTCCTCTGCTTGTGCTTCCTCTGCTTGCGCTTTCTCTGCTTGTGCTTCCTGTGCTTGCGCCTCCTCTGCTTGTGCTTCCTCTGCTTGCGCTTCCTCTGCTTGCACTTCCTCTGCATGCGCTTCCTCTGCTTGTGCTTCCTCTGCTTATGCTTCCTCTGCTTGTGCTTCCTCTGCTTGCGCTTCCTCTGCTTGTGCTTCCTCTGCTTGCGCTTCCTCTGCTTGCTCTTCCTCTGCTTGCGCTTCCTCTGCTTGCGCTCCTCTACTTGTGCTTCCTTTGCTTGTGCTTACTCTGCTTGTGCTTCCTCTGCTTGTGCTTCCTCTACTTGCGCTTCCTCTGCTTGCGCTTCCTTTGCTTGCGCTTCCTCCTCTTGCGCTTCCTCTGCTTACGCTTCCTCTGCTTGTGCTTCCTCTGCTTGCTCTTCCTTTGCTTACGCTTCCTCAGCCTGCGCTCCTCTGCTTGTGCTTCCTCTGCTTGTGCGTCCTCTACTTGCGCTTCCTCTGCTTGTGCTTCCTCTACTTGGGCTTCTTCTGGTTGTGCTTCCTCTGCTTGTGCTTCCTCTGCTTGCGCTCCTCTGCTTCTGCTTCCTCTGCTTGCGATTCCTCTGCTTGCGCTTCCTCTGCTTTTGCTTCCTCTACTTGCGCTCCTCTGGTTATGCTTCCTCTGCTTGTGCTTCCTCTGCTTGCTCTTCCTTTGCTTACGCTTCCTCTGCCTGCGCTCCTCTGCTTATGCTTCCTCTGCTTGTGCTTCCTCTGCTTGCGCTTCCTCTGCTTGTGCTTCCTCTACTTGCACTTCCTCTGCTTGTGCTTCCTCTTCTTGTGCTTCCTCTACTTGCACTTCTCTGCTTGTGCTTCCTCTGCTTGTCATTCCTCTGCTTGCGCTTCCTCTTCTTGAGCTTCCTTTGCTTGCGCTCCTCTAATTGTGCTTCCTCTGCTTGCGCTTCCTCTTCTTGTGCTTCCTCTGCTTGCGCTTCCTCTGCTTGCGCTTCCTCTGCTTGCGCTTCCTCTGCTTGTGCTTCCTCTGCTTGTGCTCCTCTGCTTGCGCTTCCTCTGCTTGTGCTTCCTCTACTTGCGCTTCCTCTGCTTGCGCTTCCTCTCCTTGCGCTTCCTGTACTTGCGCTTCCTCTGCTTGCGCTCCTCTGCTTGTGCTTCCTCTGCTTGCGCTTTCTCTGCTTGTGCTTCCTGTGCTTGCGCCTCCTCTGCTTGTGCTTCCTCTGCTTGCGCTTCCTCTGCTTGCGCTTCCTCTGCTTGCGCTTCCTCTGCTTGCGCTTCCTCTACTTGCGCTTCCTCTTCTTGCGCTTCCTCTGCTTGCGCTTCCTCTACTTGCGCTTCCTCTGCTTGGGCTCCTCTTGTTGTTTGATGCAACCATATGCATTCACGTCTGTCTGCCTCCCATCATGTGTTGGTGCGTTGCATGCGTGGTGTGAGCGTGTGCAAGAATTTGTGTTTGATGTGGTTTGGTTTTTCAGAGTGAGTGTATGTTATTTGGCTTGAGCAGATATCTGAAGTGATTCCTCTACTCAAGAGCTTTCCGACGAACCAAGAATCGTCGCGATTGGAGCACAACCAAGAAAGTTACGAACATTGGAGTTCGTATGCTTATATATTTTGGTTGCAGCTACTTTGGGAAGTTGCGGCATTGACTCAATATGGGGCACTGACTTGTGGAGGTTGGGAAATTCGAACCCATCACTGTAGATGCTGCCAAGAGGTTGGGTGAAGCCAAACCAGGTTGGTAAGTGTGGCCAAGTTGTGGTGAGGTGGATGGCTTGGGTTGGAAAGTGACAAAAGTCAAAGTTTGTTGCCTATGGGGAAGGGAATTGTGTGGCATGGGGTTTCCTTGTGTTAAACACTAAGGACGGAGTCTATGAAGATTAGGTGCCCAAATTTTTTAAAATCGTTGGTCTCAATTTCTGGACAGAAACGTCGACTTCACAAGAAACGTTGTCGACGAAAGGTGCACTATTAGAATCCCACGAAATTCGACTATGTTGTAGCCCTAGACCGTGGCTACATTTCCCAATTTGAATCGTATCAAATTATGAAGCATAGCTTGAGTTAGACGTTTCGGCGCACTAGGGGGTATGCTGCCACAGAAATTTAACTCGATCACAATTAACTCACAAGTCCCACAAAAGAACATTAGAGTAGCACTAAACCTGGTAGGAGGGGAAGAGGAGGACGAGAGGGAAGGTCCCAAGAGAGAGTCCCCAACCAAGGAAACCCCATGCCACACAATTCCCTTCCCTATAGGCAACAAACTTTGACCTTTGTCACTTTCCAACCCATGCCATCCACCTCACCACAACTTGGCCACACTTACCAACCTGGTTTGGCTTCACCCAACCTCTTGGCAGCATCTACAGTGATGGGTTCGAATTTCCCAACCCCCACAAGTCTGTACCCCATATTGAGTCAATGCCACAACTTCCCAAAGTAGCTGCAACCAAAATATATAAGCATACGAACTCCAATGTTCGTAACTTTCTTGGTTGTGCTCCGATCGCGACGATTCTTGGTTCGTCGGAAAGCTCTTGAGTAGAGAAATCACTTCAGATATCTGCTCAAGCCAAATAACATACACTCACTCTGAAAAAACCAAACCACATCAAACACAAATTCTTGCACACGCTCACACCACGCATGCAACGCACAAACACATGATGGGAGGCAGACAGACGTGAATGCATATGGTTGCATCACTCAACAAACTCCCCCTCTGGCTGCCAACCATCATCCCACATGCCATAACTCAAGCATGCCCCCTCAATGCACACTCATTCCCGCAAGCTTCATGCCCTTCCAATGCTCAGGTTCTGCCAGGCGCTTGGTGAGAATGTCAGCCGCCTGCTGCTGGGTCTTCACAATCTCCAGCCACACCTCCTTGTCCAGGAGCCTCCTTGTCCAATGCCACTTTGGCCTGATGTGCTTTGTCAAGCCATGAAGACAGGCATTCTTCGCAAGCTTCACCGCCGACTCATTTTCACAGAAAATCACAGTCGGCTCCCTCTGACACACTCCGATTTCCTCCAACAAACGCCTCAGCCACACCACCTCCTTTGCCCCATGATGAAGGGCCATGTACTCAGTCTCACACGAGGACAACCCCACCTCGTTCTGCTTCTTGCTGCGCCAGCTCACTACACCACCTCCAAAGAGGCACACATAGCCTCCAATGCTGGTGCCATCCGTCTTCACTGAGTTGAAGCTAGCGTCGGTGTAGCAAGTCAAGCGCATCTCCCCCTTGCTCAAATCAGCTGCACCCCTCTGTAGCCTCTATCGCACAGCACTGTACTCCAAGCCCACTGATGCTGTAGCGCTCACATAGCGGACCAACCTCTTGGCCGCTTCCAGCTGCTCATGACTTGGGCATGAAACCACACTCGCAAGCCTGGATGTAGCAAAGGCAATGTCAGGCCGCGTGTGGTTAGCCGCATAGTTGAGTGCCCCCACCATGGAGTGAAACAACTTCCTGTCACTTTCCCCCACCACCTCCTCATCAGTACAGGGCTCCACAGTGAACCCCGAAGGTAGCAGGGTGGCTGGCTTTCCTGCATCTTGCAGCCCATACTTCTCAGCCAGCCCCTCACAATACTTCCTCTGGTGCAACCTCAACACTCCCTTGTCAAGGTCCCTCTCCATGTGCATCCCAAGGTAGTACTTCACATCTCCCATCTTGGAGCACTTGAACTGCATTTCCAGCATCTCCTCCACACGTTCAATCATCGCAGACGACTCAGAGAAGAGCAGGATGTCGTCCACGTACACCAGGAGTATGAGGAACTGTTCCTTCTCTTGCAGCAGGAACAGGCTGTGATCACACTCGCTCTTCTTGAAACCCCCAGCCAGCAGTGTCTCCTCCAGCTTGTGGTACCATGCGCGAGGAGCCTGCTTCAGGCCATAGATGGCCTTCTTGAGCCTGCACACCCTGCCGCTCCCATCATCCAACCCCTCAGGCTGCAGCATGTACAGCTCCTCCAAAATGATTCCATTAAGGAAGCCAGTGATTATGTCCATCTGCTTGATCTTCCAGCCACGGTTTGCAGCCATTGCCAATATCGTCCTCAGTGTAGTGCCTTTCCCCACAGGAGCAAAGATATCATCAAAGTCCTTCCCCTTTGTCTATTGGAACCCCTTAGCCACAAGCCTTGACTTGCAGCGGGTCAGCTCCCCATCAGGTCCGTACTTGTGCCTGAAAATCAGCTTGGAAGAAATGGCCTTCTTCACTGGAGGCAGCTCACACAGCTCCCACGTCTCGTTCTCCAGCAGAGAGTCATACTCCTCCTTCACACTCTGCTTCCACTTCTCAGCATCGGGCCCACTCAAGGCCTCGGTAAGTGTCTTGGGCTCAGGGACGGCTGCCGAGTAACAGTGCGCTATCTCCTCCTCATCACACTGCTCAGCCACACTTCCAGCATGCTCCACATTTTGTGAGCCAGTGCGATTATAGCTCTACCTAATAGGTGGGCGTATATCCCTCCTAGGACGCTCAGGCGGGCGTGGGGCACATGGTGGAGCACGTTGCTGCTGCCGCTGCTGCTGCTGTTGATGCTGCTGTGGCTGCTGTTGCTCCTCCACCTCAGGTTCTCCCCCATCCTTGGTCACCCCAGAGATCTCCTCCTCGGAGATATAAACCTCCACTTGCCTCGAGGGCCGCTGCAACTCATCGGCCTCAATGATCAGAGGTGTAGAAGGGAGCTTCTGCTGCTGCTGCTTCCACTCCTTGTAGTACAAGGACTCAAGGAACTTCACATCCCTCGACACAGTCAGTTGCTGGCTGGTCAAGTCCCAAATCAGCCATCCCTTGTGATCCTTAGCAAGCCCCAAGTGCACACCCCATCTCCCAGAGGCTTCCAGTTTTCCCCTCTTCTCCTTAGGTACATGAAAAACCACCATGCACCCGTAGGCTCTCAGCATGTTCACCGTTGGTGCACTCCCATACCACTTGGTGTAGGGGACCCACTGCTTGTCCCCCACAGTTGCCAGCACCCTGTTCTTCACAAGGGCGACCTGCCGCAGTGCAGTCACCCAAAACGGATCCGGCAGCCCTGCACGCCCAAGGAGAGTGCGAGCACCTTCCTGCAGGGTCCGGTTGAACCGCTCAGCCACGCCGTTCTGCTGAGGGTTGTAGGGCACCGTGAGCTGATGCTGGATCCCCTTCTTCTTCAGCACCACCTCAAAATCAGTGCCAATGAATTCTCCCCCGTTGTCAGTGCGGATCACCTTCACCTTATGTCCGCTCTCCCTTTGAGCCCTCGGCATCCACTCCTTAAGAACAGCCGTTGCCACCTCCCCCTTAGTCTTGAGAGGGTACACCCACACCGCACGCGTGTGGTCGTCCACAATCGTCAAGAAGTAGCGGCTGCCCGAGAGAGAAGGGGCCCTTGTGGGGCCCACCACATCCATGTGCACAAGCGCGAGTGGAACCTTGGCTGGTCCCGTGCTGCTGCTGAAAGGGAACTTGGTGAACTTTGTCTCAAGGCATGTAGGGCAGCTCCCAATCTCCTTCGCTGCCCCCTTCACCTCCAATCCCTTCAAGCTCCCATCCTTCACCAACTTCTACAGCATAGGAATGTTGATGTGGCACAGCCTCTCATGCCACGTCTCCCAATCGGCCTCACCACTCCCAGACGAAGCCTTTGCCCATGCAGCCGTTGCATCCACACCAGCGAGCACCTCACCATATGATTGCTGTGGCTGCTGCACCTTCTTGACTGTATCAAGGGCCCCAGCAGTTGGTGCAATCTCCTCTCCTCCCGCAGTTGCCTTAGCCGCTGCCGCTGCCTTTGCCGTTGCTGGAGGTTTCCCATTCAAGGGATGATGGGCAGCTGCCACAGGTCCTTGATGCAGCTGCTCTTCTCCTCCAAATCCCACAGCAGCAACTTCCCAAGCTTTGCACGGCAGCTGGTTGGGCCGAACG